TCGTCGGACCACCACATGAGGCCCTCACCTTCGCCAGAGGCCCTCACCTTCGCCAATTAAGACCCTCACCTTTGCCAGAGGCCCTCACCAACACCTGAGGCCCTCACATTCACCAAAGGCCCTCACCTTTGATAGAGGCCCTCACCTTCACCAAAGACCCTCTTCTTTGCCAGAGGCCCTCACCTTTGCCAGAGGCCCTCACCTTCGTCGGACCACCGCCGAAGGCCCTCACCTCCATCGGACCACCGCCTGACGTCGTTGCTCCGCCGAATAGCCACTTGAGACCCTGTGCTCAACCAGGACACCACCTGAGGACCGGACTTCTGCTGGGCCACTACCTGATACCTAAAGTTCTACCAGAGTATCGCCCTACTACAACGGTCTTTCAGATCCCGGTCTCCTGCCGACTACGGTCCTACCGACCTCCGTCGCCTACTATGGTCCTTCCGATCTCCATCAACAGACAACGGTCTTTCAGACCCCGGTCTCCTGCCGACTATGGTCCTCCCGACCTCCGTTGCCTACTATGGCCACTCCGACCTCCATCACTAGACAACGGTCACTCAGACCCCGGTCTTGCCGACTATGGTCCTCCCGACCTCCGTCGCCTACTATGGTCCTTCCGACCTCCATCACCAGACAACGGTCTTTCCGATCTCCATCCTATCGACTATGGTCATGCTGACAAAACAAATACATCTATTGTAACTCCCATCATGTAATACACTTTATATGATGTACATTTATGACATCAAGCCAAGGCCTTCTCCCTAAGAAGGCCTCATTTGTAATCAACTACAAATACCAGTGGATTCATTCAAACTGGGCCAGACCCCGTGGTTTTTCCCCCTTTTCAAGGGTTTTCCACGTAAAAACTCTGGTGTCTCTTATGAACGCTACACCCTCTCACTTATCTGATTGTGTGCTGGATTTTCGTACAATGCTAAGACGTTAAACTATATATTTCTCTACTGCCGCGAATACTCCATGACGCAACAAGAGTAAATATTCCTTACAATAAGATGAGCAATTATCCTCTGATTGCTACATATATTATCTTCTTCAGTTCCTTGTATATAACCTTCATTGCTACATGTATTATCCTTTTCATTTCCTGCAATCACAACCTTCATTCCTACAAACATTCAAGTTCATGACATTTCAGAACAATTAAGAGTGGCATGCCCAATAAATAGGAGCGAGATCAAGGGTAAATTATGAGTGGTTAGAATATACGGCTGATATTGATCCCCATTGATCATGAATTGTTTATCAAATATTTAAGTACCTTAATAATGTCAAAATTCGACATTATTGGGCTCGTTGGATTCATCTTGTCAAGTCGCTCGATTCAACAATAAGCATGTCACGTTTGGAAACCATTTGGTCATCCAAATTATAGATTGAACCTTCCAAAAGTGCTTTGATTATTCGATTTGGACCCATTTGGACTCAAATTGAGTCGAATTTGGTGTCGTTGGGTTTGTTTTTTCTAGACGTTCAGATGAAACCAAAATTCACATGATTCAGAATTAAAAGTTTCCAACTTGATTTTGCCTCGAGATTCGTTCTTGATCAAGATAATTATTGATGATATATCAGAGCCAATGTTCATATTTGATTTCAATTAAGTTCAAACTTAGACTTCCAGATTTGAATATATTATAAGAAGTTTAAAAGGAATTTGACATTAAATTATAAAATAATATGCATCATTAATTGTACTATTTTAAAATAATATTTTGGAGTATATTTATCTAAAATTAAAATATAAAAAAATATTTATCTAAATAAACATATTATAAGGGATATAAAGCCCAATTTTCATTTATTAATAGATTTAGCTAGAAAACTAAATCCCATTTATCCACAAAAAAATATCGAAACACCAATTAGTGAAATTACTCAAAAAAGCCACAGCCGGCCTTAAGACTCGCACCAGCCCTACATATATTTCGTTCTCCTCGCGCTTTGCTGTTCCAACAATCAGACCAAAACAATGGTCTCCACTAGAAGCGGTGGAGCCGGCGGCGAGCTGCTGGAATCGATCTACTCAGTCCTCGTGCTCGCCCTTGTCCTCGTGGCGTGCGTCGAGCTTGGCGACGCTGCCACCGCTGTCGACGTGTACCGCCTGATCCAGTACGACATTGCCGGAGTGCCATTTGGGTCTCGCCTTGCCGGCCTCAACCACCACGCCGGCTCTTCCTTATTTACCACCAACGCTGATCTCTCTCGCACCGCTGTCATACTTCCCGTGCGCGAACTCAACCTCACGCTTCTCAATGGTAGTCCTAGAATCTCAATTAAGTTGCGCTGGCATCAACACCATCGTTTTGAAAAATTGTTTTCTTTGATATTTTATCGGGTATTCCTGGGCAGTCGAATCTCGCTCTTTACATTTACTTAAGGGCCTGTTCGGTTCAAAGTAGAATTTATCAAGTACTGATTTGACAAATCATATTCAAGTATAATTTTTTGAACCCTGAGAATTGTTTGGTTGCCTAATTCTTAAATCCATTCAAATTTTTGATTTGTTTGTTTGCAGATTGCAGGATTTAGGGATTTTGATGGTTTTGTGCTTTAAAATCATTAAAATTACTTGAATCTCCATTAAATATGCTGTTTTCATTGATCAGTGAACTTACGTTAAAGCCCTTAAAACGCATACCTTAATCAAAATGATTAGCATAATAAATAAACCTAATAATTACTCTTATGAAAATACTTTATAATATAACCAGAATAAATATATAACCATTTTGTGTCCCATGGTATTTAACCAAACGATATTAATACAATAACCTTAGAAAATCATCATAGTAGCAGCAAGTCATTAGGCAATTACACAAGCATAATGAACATGTCAGGTATCCCAACATAAAAAATAGTGAAACTACACCCAAAGAAATGCAGAGAATATGTGTGACATGACCCAAACCCCCCTTTCCATCTCCTCCTATGGCTCACAGATGCTTGTTAGCTTGATGACTTGTATATGGCTGTTGATACTCCTAAAATAATCTCAGGCCTATCTTTAGTGTGTGGATGCATCGACGCAAAGATCTATTAAATCTATTTTCATTTGCATGAGATTCCTCTTAAATACTATAGACTCATGGTCTTTGTTCTACAAATACCATGTAGTAAGCCGTACCTTAAAAAAACTATATGATTTAAGATCATAAAATGTTAGATTGAGCACAATGTAATGCAACAACTACAACAATATCATAAAGCCTTTATCCCACTACATGGTGTCGACTACATGAATCATTTTTCTCCATTGTCTCCTGTTTAGACTTTAGAGTTAAATTCTCATTTAAATCTAATAAATAAAGATCATTTTTAATTTTCTAACCAAATCTTTTTAGGTCTATCTCTACCTTTATTAACATAAACTAAATCTAATACATGTACTCTCAGAACCTGGTCATCTAAAGGTCTTCGTTTTATGTGATCAAACCATTTAAGACAACTCTCTCTAATCTTATCTGTCACTGGAGTTACTCAAACCTTTTCACGTTTATGCTCGTTTTGTATCATGTCTCTAAGAGTAAAGTCACTCATCCACCTGAGCATCCTCATCTTTGCAACATTGAACTTAATTTTATTCTTCTCTTCTTATGGTCAACATTCTGCACCATAAAAAAATGCAGGTATCACAATCATCTTATATATATTTCCCTAGTTTGAGGGATACTTTTCTATCACACAGCAAGCCCGATGCATTTCTCCACTTCAACCATCCAACTTGAATTCTACTAATAATATCTTCATCTATTTCACCATTCTAAACAATAGACCCGAAATATTTAAAACGTTTACTCTTATTAATGACTTGATCGCCTAAAATCATAATCCTCCAACTAGATATATTACTACTAAAATTACACTCCATGTATTTGGTGTTAGATCTACTCAAACAAAAATCTTTAGACTTTAAGGCTAACCTCCATAATTCAAGTTTACCTTCAATTCCCACTCTGGTCTTATCAACAAGAAGAACATTATCAGCAAAAAGCATACATCGGGGTACATATTGCAAATGACTAGTAAAAACATTCATGATTAAACCATAATGTAATAGTGAAAGCATAATAAACATATGTATCGGATTAGAAGTGCAATACATTAATGAATTACTAATAATAATTAATGAAACAACAATAAAACACAATACTGCTGAGAACCCTTTCTCCCATACAACAGCTAGATTTTCATACATCAAAAATATAAACTAGGGTCTTACAAAATTCCTTCAAAGCCACTTGAACCAATATATCAACATCATAGATTGACAGGTAGAAAAAGAAAAAAAAAATTCAATATATCTCTCATCAAAACTGACAACAAAGATAAAAAATCAATGTGGGTTTACTAAGGGCATCAAGTAGGCCTACCAAGTCAAGGGTTTTGATAGAGAGAAGTAGAAACAACAAGAGGGAAACATGAATGATGCCTGGAGGAGTCATGAGTAGGAATGATAGGAAATTACTGAGTAGACATGAGGGTACTAGGGAGGTAGAAGTTATTGTGGAAGAGAGGGTTTTGACAGAGGGAAGGAGATGTAAGTAGAGGGCCAATGTAAAATATATATAGAAGACATGAGGAAAGATGAGAAATGAAGGGAGCAACGGGGTTGTGCCATGAGAGCGAGATGAGGGCCAAATCACGTAAATCACAGTTTCCTCATGACTTGATAAATTCTGATTTTGAGCTGGAGTTTGATAAATTTGGTTAAATCTTATTATTTTTTCTCCCACTTTAAGATCCCTGTACAAACCTTTTGGCATGTTTTTAGTCCAATTCCCATCTAAATATTACTTTGGGTTACCAAATAGCTCCCTAGGCTGAACCTTTTGTACCATCTTCTAATCTTACATTTCAATTGTTAAAAAAACCAAAAAGAGAAGAAAATATATCCTTTTTTTAATCTTTTCTTTACTCTCCATTTAAGTATTTTATATCTTCTCTCAACTTCTACTCAGAGTTTTAATTTAACTCACATAAATTAACTTTATGTTTTAAAACGCTAGTACTGTCTTAGGTGCAAGTCCATTTGACTTGCAAGGATGACCTATCCACAGTAATTCGCTGAATTTCTGTGGTAGAACAACATATCTTATGTTCTTTTTCACCAAATGAAGGAAAAGGATGTTTTTTGGGTGAGAGGAGATGAGGAGGGCACATGGGTGAGAGTGAGATATGAATATATATATATATATATATATATATAACTTCTTATGCTTTTGGCAATGAGGCAATTTGCTTTATGATTTATATATTTCTGCACAGCTTCCCTGGCTATCTCTGCAAACTTATATTTTCTTGTAAGTGACAATAAAGAGTTATTTTCAAATTAATGTTTATAGTCACGATTCTGGTATTTTTGGCTTATCCCATTTCAGAGTTTATCACTAGTAAACAACCATTGGGTGGATTGTTGCTTTTGCTTCCTCGAAGGACTGGCTCAAGAGAATCAAGTGAGAAAATACACGGTGATAGTCTAACGAGAAGCATTTTGGTTGAGTTGGAAAAATTGCTCATACATTCATATATTCCTGTAAGTAAAATATTCCATTCAGATATTTGAATCTATTACTTTCTTTACTTTTATTCATTGGATTATCTTATTACATCCTAAAGAAATCCAAAGCATGGCTCTTGTTGATTTGCATAATAACATTAGGGACTTGGGATTAACAGAATATATAGAGTATATTAGATGCAATTTTAGTGGATATTAGATTGATAATTATCAATTAATATTCTTAGAAGGTCACGTGCTACCTTACTGTGATAAGTTTAAATATGTTGGATCTATTAAGCAAAAGAAAGTGGACATAAATGAGGACAAAACTTACTATAAATTTAAGGAGGATACAAGATTTACCCAAGCAAATCCAAGGCTATGGCTCTTGTTAATTTTCATAATAACATTAGGGACTTGTGGTTAACAAAATATAGATGAGTATATTAGATGCAATTTTAGTGGATATTAGATTGGTAATTATCAATCAATATTCTTAGAAGGTCGCATGCTATCTTAGGATGATAAGTTTAAATATTTTGGATCTATTAAGCAAAAGAAAGTGAACATAAATGAGGACAAAACTTCTAGAGTAAATGTAGGAAGCACAAGTCCTCCAATGTACTATGCAGTGAGAAAAGATCATGAAAATATAAAAGTAAATTAATAAAATCACAATTAGACAGATTATAGAATATCGATGTTAGTGTTGGGTAACAAATAATTCACAAGTAACCAAGTTAATTGTGGCACAAGGAGAATACTAATATAGATGTTTGGAAGGATGGTTTGAGAAATGAATATATTGGAGGCAATGATAGTGACGACTATCGAAGACAAGATGATGAAAATAAATTTATGTGATTGCACATGATACAATGGAGGATAAAAATTACACTAATAAGATGAATAAATGGATTTAACATGGAAGGAATAGAGAGGTAAAAGCGTAGGCTAATGGAAGCATGTTTAGAATTTGTTCTAAAGGGCTTATATGAACACATAGTGTTTGTCATGCATGGCACTCTGCATGAATAAATGAAGAAAACAGATCCAGAAAAAGTCAATCCTTAATAGTTTGAATAAGGCTGCAACTGATGATGATGAAGAAAACTTGTGAATAAATCAATCTGTTGTTCTTAGTTAAAAGTAATTCTTTTAAAAGTGTTTTTTTTTTTTGTGTTTTTTAGGGTTCATTTTGAAATTTGAATTTGCATGTTCTTTAGTGGAAAAGATTTTACTCATCTCAAACCTCAACTGCCCCTTCAACGTGCCAACCCCAAGGATTAAAAAAAGCATTTTTTTTTTGGATTGGAATATTACTTAACTTTTTTTTTTTTTGAGGATAATGAATTGCAATTTTTTGGCTGCTGTTTTGAATAAAACATTGTTTCTTTTAAATTATGTTAAGTATCATGTAAACCAATTCTTGGATCAGCTTACCTTATGACTTTTTTTGTTTCCGAATACTCAAATCGTAATGCCTGTAAGTTCTTGCAGTATCCAGTGTATTTTGCATTTGAGAATAGTAAACTTAATTCCATATTAGCTGATGTTCGGAGGAGCGATGCTACTGGTCAGCCTGCTTCAGCAACAAGTGGCGGGTAAGCCAAAATAGGAAAGTCTCTTCATCAGTTTTTGTAGATAAATGTTTGATGCACTTTATGCAGTTGCATTTGTAAACTAGTTATATCATTTTCTTATTGTTTAACCAAATTTAATTTGCTGTACATTGCTGTTGCTTGTACTTTGACAGTCTTTGAAAGAAATATTTTACGTGCTAGAGTATATATATATAATTCTTCTATAGTTGTAAGAAAAAGAAAGTTGGGAGAAGAATATCTTTCAGCACTTCTTTATTGAAACCCTTATTAAAATCACCGCTTCACCTCACAAATTAGATCACCTTGTATCAAATATTTGAGCAGCGATGAGACTTGCTTGGATCAGCCTCCTGCAGTTTATGAGAACATCAAAGGATAAAAAATTGTAGCAATAACTAGCGCCTGGACCTCTCAGTGGACTACAACAATTTGTCAACATCCCTAGTAAAAATTTCAGTGGCTGTAACAGATTTGAAATCTAATTCCGGAACTCATCATGGAGAAGGATAAAGAGGGAGGGGGAAAGTAAGAGGGATCAATTCTTACTAGAATTGATTTCAGAACTTTTGTTTACAGTATGATATCCTTGGGTACTTATAGAAATCATATGCAAAGTCAAACAAAGTCTATACCGGGAGAAAATAGTTATTGGATCAACCTATGATTGTCCACTAACCAAAATCTGTTAGGTTAGTTGAAAAAACAAACCGTAATAAGTAGAGATATAAAATCACAATTTTAACAAGGTTGGGCTTGTGATATGGAGTTCTGTTAGACCGGTCCACTGGACCGGTCCAGCCGGTTCAGGCGGGACCGGTTCACAAACAAAATCTCAAAATCGGCGGAATCCTGGCGGAGAACGAGCGGCCTGACCTCTCAAACAAAGCGTTTTAGGAAGGATTTTTGGGGGGTTTCAGAGAGAAATTTGAATGTAGGGACTATTTAGGGAATTCCTTTTGATTTGTATGCATTAAATAGATGTTTTTCCTAGGGTTTGGGCATCTTGAATTTGGCTGAAATTTGAGATCTCTTAGATTTAGGTTTCTTTGGGCTCTAGCGGCGTCTGGAGATTTGGGAGAGATCGATCCTCCTCTCGAATTGAGGATCAATTGTATCTTTGCTATTTTATTCATCTACTAGTGAAATACAAGTGTTGTGTGGTTTTCTCTCAGTTTTCTAGCCGTTTTCCTCTGATTTGGTGCTGATTTCTGCTGTAAACAGCAGAACTCCTGCTGGTTGCTCATCCGTTTGGCTTAGAAGTGCTTGCGAACTCAAGTATTACCTTAGGGTTACTTGCGGACTCAAGCGTTTCCTATCAAATTGGTATCAGAGCATCGATTCGGGACCACCGGCGGCTGAAATTCTGAAATTTCAGCAAATTTATCTTTTCCGGAAGAAGATTTTTTGAGATCCGTTAGAAGAAAGATGGCCGGAAAGAAGGCGAAAGTATTAGAAGGCGAGTTCGGACAACTGAAGACAGATCTGGAGGGAAAGTTCCTGGAAATCTCCACCAACAATGACAGGTTGGAAGGGAGGTTCGCAGCTATGGAAGAAATGATGAAGAAACTATTGGAGATGAAGACCAATCCGGCAACATCGGAAGTGAGAGAGACTACTGACGGCCATGGCGTAGGAGGAAATCCAAACCCAATCCGGGGGAGGAGGAATCCGGAGGTGGAGATTCTTGAAGGGGACGACGACATGCCACCTTTAGAGCCACTCTATAGAGAGGAGATGAGCATGAGAAATGACCGTCGAGGTGCTGATTTTCAGCGTCGAGGTGTTGATTTTGGAGGCAGGGGGGAATATGAAGGTAGTGCAGATTTTGTAGAAAGAAGAGAAGAGTATCAGCGTCGAGGTGCTGAATTTCAGCGTCGAGGTGCTGATTTTGAAAGAGGAAGGGGGGATTATGACGACGAACTCGGATACCAGCGTCGGAGGGAGGACGGGGACACTTGGGGAGCACCTCATCTTCGAGGAATGGGAGATTATGGAGAATACCGGGGCGATGGAAGGAATCCGAAGGTGAGGAAGTTGAAGATGCCCATCTTTGAGGGCGAAGATGGCCATGGCTGGATCTATAAGGTGGAGCGTTACTTTGCAGTCAACGGGTTGACAGATGATGAGAAGCTAACGGCGGCAGGTTTGTGTCTGGAAGGGAAGGCATTGGCATGGTATCAGTGGCGAGACAGGAGAGAGCCTATCAGGAACTGGCGAGAGTTCAAGGATTGTTTATTAGAGCGTTTCTAAACCGACGGGGGAGGAGATTTCTATGAGCAATTCTTTGCCTTGACTCAAGAAGGGACTGTGACAGATTATCGGGATCGGTTTGAGTACTTGGCTAGCAGATTGGATCACATTTCAGAGTCAGCTTTAGAAGGGAACTTCATGAAGGGGCTGAAACCAGGATCCGAACAACAGTCAGGGTACTGGAGCCGAGGAACCTGGGAAAGGCTATGGAGTTGGCGCAGTTGGTAGAAGATCAGAAGAAAGCAGAAAGAGGGGCTCGAGGAAACTGCTCAGGAGGATCTTACAGGACGACGACCACTCTTCTAGCACCTAAGGGGCCTGCATCAGGCAACAGTACTGAGACCACCCGGGAGAAGCCAGTAGGAGGGAGTGGGGAAAATTTCAAGAGGTGACAGAGAAGGAGATGCAAGATAAGAGGACAAAGGGGTTGTGCTTCAGATGTGATGAGAAGTACATGCCAGGGCATAGGTGCAAGGACCGAACTCTTCAGGTTCTCCTTGTCTGTGAAGACGAGGAAGACGAGGAGGGAGGTGGGAGCAGATCTGGAGAGGAGGAGAAGAAGTTGCACCTGGATGTGGCAGAAGTATCTCTGAACTCAGTAGTGGGATTTAGTCCGAGCCATACTATGAATGTGAAAGGAGAGATAGCTGGCCATGAGGTGCTGGTGCTAATTGATAGTTGGGCTACCCGCAATTTCATTTCCACTCAGGTCGTCAACCAACTGAGAGTGAAATTGGTGGACACCGGTTGTTATGGGGTGATGATGGGTACAGGAAAGGTGGAGAAAGGCCAGGGAATCTGTAAAGGAGTGGTGTTGACCATCCAGGGGATTCAAGTAAGAGAGGACTTTCTCCCACTAGAGTTAGGAAGCACTGATGTCATCCTGGGGATGAAGTGGTTGCAAACCTTGGGGGAAACCAAGGACAATTGGGGAGCACTCACGATGGAATTAATGGTGGATGGGAGAAAGGTGGTTATAAGGGGAGATGTAGGGCTATCTAAAGCCATGACATCATTTAAGAGTCTAAGACCATGGTCAGGGATATGCAAGAGGTGGGGGAAGACTATCTGGTGGGACTACACAAGCTGAGTGTGATCAGAATGGAGAGAGGGGATGTTTCTCTTTCCGTGCAGCCCTTGGTTCCGCAATACAGTAAGGATTTTTAGTCACCTCAAGGATGGCCACCTCCACCAGAACACGAGCATATCTCCACCTTGAGGACAAGTTGGATTTTTGGGAGGGGAGTATTGTTAGACCGGTCCACTGGACCGGTCCAGCCGGTACCCCCCCAGCCGGTACAGGCGGGACCGGTTCACAAACAAAATCGCAAAATCGGCGGAATCCTGGCGGAGAACGAGCGGCCTGACCGCTCAAACAGAGCGTTTTAGGAAGGATTTTTGGGGGGTTTCAGAGAGAAATTTGAATGTAGGGACTGTTTAGGAAATTCCTTTTGATTTGTATGCATTAAATAGATGTTTTTCCTGGGGTTTGGGCATCTTGAATTTGACTGAAATTTGAGATCTCTTAGATTTAGGTTTCTTTGGGCTTTAGCGGCGTCTAGAGATTTGGGAGAGATCGATCCTTCTCTCGAATTGAGGATCAATTGTATCTTTGCTGTTTTATCATCTACTAGTGAAATACAAGTGTTGTGTGGTTTTCTCTCAGTTTTCTAGCCGTTTTCCTCTGATTTGGTGCTGATTTCTGCTGTAAACAGCAGAACTCCTGCTGGTTGATCATCCGTTTGGCTTAGAAGTGCTTGCGAACTCAAGTATTATTACCTTAGGGTTACTTGCGGACTCAAGCGTTTCCTATCAAGTTCATATTTTCAAATTATGAAAACAACGTAATACAGAAGAAAGGTTGCATACATTTATCCGCATCATAATACATGGCAGTTAATTTTGCAAAGAAATCTAAGCAAAGAAGATGCTGCTACGTTTTTTGTCGCCATATTTAAATTTTTGTTTGCCCAAGTTCATGTTGGAATAGTTATCGTGTATCTTTTTAGCATTGTTTTGCCAGTGACTTCTTTACAACTGCTCTTGATGAGTGGGCCAGTGGCTGAGAATTTATTGCCATTCTACTCCACTCCGTTATTAACTTGTTCTTGTCATAGCAACGAATGCAAAATACACTGTTAGAAGACATGTTTGAAATTTATTTTGAAAAAAAAAATATCTGTAGCATTTGATAATTTTTTTCTACTCAGAATAAAGAAAGATGCTTATTTCAATGCTTGCGGAATAGATATTGTACACTGGAAATATGTCAATAATTCTTGCAGTTCCACGGCTTTGAAATATAGATGGAAAAATATTAATCAGCAGTCCCAAATGTGGTTCCATTGTTTGTTGCTAATCACAGCTTTCGGCGGCTTATTGCGAAGGTCCTCCATTGGGTTTGGATAATTGATGAACTAAACTCATATGATTAAATCTATAAGGTGTCATATCACATTGCTACTAATTAGGGAAAATGATGGGGATATAGAGCTTGAGAGCTGGTACATGTTTTTATTTTTAATGATATATTTCTTTGTCCTAAGAGCTTTACTTATTTAGTTTTTTAAGTTTTATCAAGGCATTGACAATTGTATTTTATATAGCTATAATACTGAAAGGTCGGTCAGAATAATGATAGAAGGACCTCCTTTAAACTTAGAATTAAGCATTCCTTGTAATTAAACGCCTGAAATGTTGGCTGCGTTAACATGAAGATATATATATATATATACATATAAATGGAATAAATTGCAACTAGGTGGATGGTCGATCTTAGACTAAGATGAAGGGTTTTGTTCTATTGATCCAAATGCTAGTGATCTAAACTTTATGCTATTGTACTGTAACCCTTCTTTTAAGTCTAGATCAAGGACTTGGAGGGTTGTGGGAAATATCTAATTGGAGCAGTAGTGGAATAAGTCTAAGAAGGGCTTTCATATGGTACTACCAAGCTTGGTTGGGAAGGGAAAAGTGGGTTTTAGTCTTGTGTATAGATTAGCTTTTCCTTCCTTCGATGAGTGGAATGAAGCTTACAATTAGATTGGATCTTCCTCGCTTTCACCTTGCTAGAACTTGATTGATCTTTCCCTCTTGGATTTATCTCTTATGCATACAATATAACTATGTACTCAATTGTTTACTTGCTGCATACTCCAATTTTTTGAGTATGTAGCGAGCAAATGTGTTGTACTCTTTACTAAACATATTAGAATACACAACGATTATATAGCTGTGTACTTAGTACACAGTGAGTACATAGAAATGTACTCGTTTTGTCCGAACGTAGAGCCATAGCTAGTATTCACACCTAATTATTTCTCCACTTGCAGAGAGCATAATTTGTTTAGTGAGATGAGAGGGGGAGAAAGTTTAGTCAACCAGCGGATCAATTTCATTAGAGTTGGAAATGAAATTCCATTGCCATCAGACTTACATTGCCTCTTATCTATAATAGTATTTGGATGGATCTTCTTAATCTAGTAACAAACAAACAACACTTTAATTTTAACTCAAAATACAGGTAATTAGTTAGCAACCTAATCCACAAAATGAGGAGATAATGCATCTCCTTCAATTCAAAATACAATAATGAGGAGAGAGGACATAACTTTAAGCACTTCTTTGAACGACTTGTTGATGTAGCCAATTTGGTGATGTGGCACTCTTTGATTATGAGGAAATGGATGTTGATATGGCAGTCCTTGATGCTTTAATTGAAGTCTTATAGGATTGTTGATATATGGTGTTAAAATGCAATTTGATGTGGGTTCGTGAACTTGAATTTGTTGAATCCTAATATCAGATTATCCTAAGGTAGCCTAGCCTGAGTTAATTGGCTCAATGCTTGGGAGCCTCTTGAATTAATGAAACTTGCACAAAACACTATTTTTGTCCATTAATTTTTTTAAGGTAAGAAAGTAACTCCAAAAATTTTTATGCATGGAATTATTAGGCCCATTTCATCAACTTGATCATTATCTAAGCTTTTGGTAACAACAATGCCTTATTTCTTCCTCTCTCCCACCCAATGCCTACATTGAGGTTGACATTGCCATCATAATATAGAAATAGATGCTAATAGTCATTTATAGGTGAAGTGAATGCCAACAAAGGAAGGGTGTCTTGGTGTTGTTTATTTTTGTTAAAGTAATTAAACAAATGAAATAGAAAAATGCTGAAATTTAAAATTAGCGAGCAATATAATTTTTTTTGTTTAATAAAATTTATATAAAATTACAACACACTTTAAAACAATGAGATAATTTCAATGACTAATATCTATCAGCGTTCTTTGATTAAATCTCACACTGTGATTTTCAGTTTTTCACCAATAAATAATAGATCTTACAATCCAAGAGAACGAATCATCATATATCACATTTTCATCCATTGAACACAAATAATGAAAATCATAAGTTAAAATAAATACCTATGTAGTAAAATAAAGATCAAGTGAAAAGGGGTTCAAATCAATTTTTCTATGGTTCAACACTAATGGACACTTTTATCCCTCCAACCCAAGGTTCCCTACTCTCTCTTTTGGCCACCACTATGCGGAGAAGCCCATCCCCTTGGCAGATAATGAAGAAATCCTACACCATTTTCTACTCAAAGTGAGAAATTTCTATTCTAGCTCCACGGCTAATCAACAAATACACGAAAACAAACATTTGAGATCCCAATGATCCCTTATAATCTCAAGTAAAACATGCTTACAACAAACTAACAAAAGTCAATTGAAGGATTAAGGTGAATTAGAAGAGGGAAACAACCTCACTAGTGTACTCTCATAACGAGATCTCTCCTTTTAAGGGTTTCAAATCAAACATAAACCCTCTCCCTTTCTTTCTCTCAAAATCTTTCAGCTCTCTAATGTTTGTAGGATTTGTAAATAATTATTTAGATCAAGTGTCTAAAAATCGAACCCTAAAACAAGTTATTTTAAAAGTACGGGCATGTCATACAATATAATGTGCCCATTGTAGAATACGATGAGTACAAATCAGCAAAATCATGTTATGTTCGATTATCCTATACGATACATATTGTATAAAACAATTAGTTCACAACCATATAAGCATTGGTGAGCCCATTATTATTGTACGGTATAAAAGTTCAAAATCTGAATTATTGTTAGGAATAACAATATGGTAGATTAAATTTGAATTTTAGACTAATCATATAATACAATATACTTTGTACAATTCTATTAGTCATTGAAATTAATTTTAAGAAACCCATCATTAATGTAAATTGATCTTATTTGGATGGTCTAAATGCAGAGCACATCATGCAATACTGATCAACTTGTATTATTGAAAGTTTAAAATTAATTTTTCTTAATTTCTCTCATGCGTGCGTTGCTGTTTGTTTCACAAGTACTTTACCTGAAATGCGTATACAAAATGACACAAAAATAAGAAATTTCTAGACTAAAAAATAAGAAAATTTTCTTGATCCATTGAAAGGGATATGGGGAGAACAGTGGTGGGCCATCATGGAGGTGTTACATGTCTTTATTCCACCAGAAAATCACTCTGAAATATAGACGAGCCTTCTTCTTTGAACTCTTTGTTTTTTCTTTTTAAATAATTTTCAGCAAAACAGGTGACGTATTTGCCAATTTCTTAGTCATCAGTCATCACTTAATTCATCATTCTTTGTGATTCCGTCCTTTATCTCATTTATCACATATTTTAGTTAAAAATGTGATCTTAAGCTAAAACATTAATTCAGCACCATTATCTTAAGTTAATCTAGAAACGCATGTCCGCTAATGAATGCCTTGATAGACGGACAATTTCTTTTATTTGTCAACTCAGATTTCACCACCACAAGCAGCTGCTATCTTATCATAATTTTTCTATTTTTTAGTGAAAAAAAAAATCAGTTTTATCTTTACCTGGGACATTCAGGCGCAATATTTTTGCATCAGTTTGTTATTAAATAATTAGTCCCTTGGGCCTTCAGTTTTTCAAGTATTATACGAGGTGAGCATTCTGTTTTGTCATTTAATTCGTTTAATTTTTTTTGCTAACCGGTTCATTATTTAACAACCTTAAACATTTATTCTATTGGTAGGCACTATTAATCTAATTTTTACTGCTTATATTTTGTATAATAGGTGTTATCATAGATTTGTGTATTCTGTGCTTTACTATAGTTAATGCCCTTTCATCCATTTTCTTATATCTTCTCCTCACAAATCTCTCTTTCTCCCTTCCTTTTTTGCTATCGCACGCTCCTTTCCCCTCTCTCCCTGACCTCTTTGCCCGCTGCCTCTATCCTTCACACACAAATCTCTCTCTCTTACTTCTCATTTTCTCTGTCCCTTGCTTTCTCCCTCTCTCTCTCACCCCAAAAAATAGCCAGAATACCCCTTCATCCTCCCTTCTTCCACCTTTCTTTTTCCATATTATCATTTCTTCCTGCAACCTTTTTCTGTCTTCGCGAATCCATTTGACGAATTCAAAGGCATGGTGGTTTCAAATTTACCATCTATGCCATAGCCTTCACCCAGCGTTAGATTTGGAGTCGTAGATTACCATAAATGACAACTGTGGTGTTACTGACTTCCAAGGTTACACAGCTATCCTTGACTACTTGTTTGGCTTTGACTTCAATTGTTGGTAAAAATGAAAAAGTCGAACCATTTCAACATTACTGGATCCTGGTTATTATTCAATGCTAATTTTTGTAATTCGATCAAACACGTTTTATGATAATTAAAAATCATAATTGTGTTAAAGGAGGTTTCCCTTTTTTCCTCTTGAATCCCTTCTTTTTTATTCCCCTCTTCTTCAGTTCTGTTTTTCAGTCTTTGGATATAATGTTGTTGTTCATGAAGCTTTGTACACTACTCGTTAAGATGAGAACTATCTTTGCAGTTAAAGTTTTTCATGTTCAAAAGAAAAATAATATAATATTTTTCTTCTCTAATATATACTGTATTTTTTTTTTTTAATTTGTTGTGTCCTGAAATGTTGCAGATACAAGCTGGTAGTATCGTCATGGGAACCTAAGAAAGTATCATCACCCACCATTACAAATATTCAGGTCCAAATTTATATTCTTTGAACATTAGAAGCAACATTATCTGAATGTTTAATTGATTAAACTTTATGTGATTTCTTTAGTAGTAGGGAATAGGGATAAATGAGCAAGCAAAATTTCTTCTCTGAATTCAGATTTTCCCTTCTTTAAAGAGATGAATCATGGTAAAGTAGTTGCTGAAGTTGATATTTGGTTCTGTTTTTATGGTAAATAAAATTGTGCGATTTTTCTTCGGACTTGTTTGGTTTCGGAATCCCGTCTTGAGATTCTACCATGTTTGTTCATTCTTGGTTTTGCCCTTAGTGTAGTGGCGTTGAAAGGCCCTTTTATTCCTATGCGGGGATGGAGTGACCCTGCCACAGCATGACCAAATTGATTCCACGACATGGAAACATGAGATCCCACACTGTGCATGAACTGCCATGCCACTCAAACGCTTAGTTTATCATGCATTTAATTTGAAATTCGCTAGCTCTACTGGTATCCCTTAATTGCAATTTTCTTGAGGAGCTCTAAAACTACAGTTGATCCGAAAGTGAAATTAGCTTAGTTTACAAAAAGTCATTAAATTATTTTCCTTCATAGACATACTGCCGTTTAAAATATATTAAATGGGAAGATCTCAAAGGATGTTCTTTACCATTTTGATTTTTTTTTTCTTTTTTTATGTAGACAGGATTTGATCCCAAGACCTAGGCAACATCTTCCAAAAATTCTTGCCAATTGAACAAGTTGGCAGTCACTTTTGCCATCTAGAGTTGGATTTCACATTACATATGGGACAATGTTGAGTACCGGTTCTTGACCTAAACTCACCCCCCTGACAAGCCTTGACCTAAACGCTTATTTATTATACTTCTTGTGAATATTTGCATTTCACGGTAGGTCTGTAAGCCTTGGCTCTAAATTCATTATTAAATGTTTGTTATTGCGATTTTCTTGAGGTGCTCTAATCCCATGGACGTGAATGTAAAATTAGCTCAGTTCATGAAAATCTTTTTAATTTTTTTTTTTTTTTCAGAACTCTAATTCCAGTGTCAAGCCCGCTAGACATACTGTCTATTTTTCATTTAGAGTTGGGAATTGTTCATGGAACAATGTGGAGCTTTTGTGCTTGATGTAAACTACCCTATAAAATTCTTTTATACTTTGTAAATATTTGCATTTGGTATCTTAACCTGGCTCTTAATGCAATAGTAAATGTTTGTTATTTTTACAATTTTCCTTCGTATTGTCATGGCTTTATGCTTCTCTCATCATTACAGCAGAGGTAAAGTAGTGTACTGTACTGATCTTGACAAGTCATCCATAGCTTTAGCTATGCTGGAATGAGTATACATACATTCAGAAATTCAGTTGCTGTTTTTCCTCATCTATGTTTTCTTTTGATATTTCCATTTCAGGGTTGGTTGCCTGGGCTAAAAGAGGATGATGATACTAATCAATTGCCTACAATTGCTATAGTTGCATTCTATGATACTTTTGGTGCTGCCCCGGTAAGATTATCTTAATCAATCATTCCTTAATCATTTTTCATGAAAACTTAAGGCTGTGATACTTCCTCTTCTTTTAAGGCAGGCACTCTCAGTGGGGAGTGACAGCAATGGGAGTGGGGTTGTGGCGCTTCTGGAAATAGCACGTCTTTTCTCTCGACTTTATTCCAATCCCAAGACAAGAGGAAAATATAATCTACTTTTTGGGCTAACATCTGGTGGACCTTATAATTACAATGGAACTCTTAAGGTCAACCTCCCACTTCTGTTAATGTTAACAATAAATATACTGGCATTTTTACTCATTTTGCTATGAACTCTATTCTATCAGTGGCTGAGGAGTTTTGATCAACGACTAAGAGAGAGCATTGACTATGCCATATGCTTGAATAGCATTGGCTCTTGGAACAATGAGTTGTGGGTTCATGTATCAAAGCCACCAGAGAATGCTTACATAAAACAAGTGTTCGATGTAATTCATGAAACAAAATATCATATATTTTTTAATTTATCGAGTAATTCTGCCTTCAGAAGAAACCATTAATATTTCTGTTGGTTTGTAAATTGCAGGGTCTTTCGGATATTGCACGAGATATGGGAGTCAAAATCGGCATAAAGCACAAAAAAATAAATATATCAAATCCCCGTGTGAGTAAATTCTCAAACCTTACCTTTCATCATTTCCATGTGGTTCGATTTGCTGGGTTGTTGACGTTTAAATTGTTTTTAAGTAGTTCAATATTTTTTAATTCACTTTATTGTTGCTGAATTGCGCTGCCCCTATGCTTGTATCCTAGTAGGTTCTGATTTGTCAGTTTCTTTCCAAGGCTGATTTTCCTGAGAAGAACATTTAGATTCTTGTGCCTTCTCGTTTTCATTTCTCAATTGCTAGTTTGCAGTTGTCCATTCCATGCGAACAATCACATACAAGAAATGTTGATAAAGCCTAGGACTAATATGTGTCATACGCAAAAATAATTTTTTCGAGTATGTTCAATGAACATAGATTTTGAGTTCAAAACCTAAGGTGTATTGCAAAAACTTTTAGCCTGGCACTATGACTTAAAACTGTTAATTTAGTTGCAAATACGAGTTAAGTGGAGTCTTAACTGTACAGTTGGAATATTAAGATTCTAACAAGGAGAGTTGGTGAGGTAGGTAAAAGAAAATTAGTTGGAGAGAATCAAGGCAACTAACCAAAGTTTACTCCACAAAATTCTCCTCCATATCCTAAAAAGCAGCCTAGAAATAGCCTTGAATCTTACGCCTTTATGATATTAATGAGGCTTGTGCTTTTTTTATTTCAGATGTGTGCTTGAAGGCTTTAGGTTATGTTTCGAGTTGAGAGAGAGAAAGAGAGAGGAGTCTAAGAGCAGTAAAAAGCGCAATGGGGATGGTGGAGGGGGAAGATTGTGAGTGGAGAGGGTTACACCTGCTTGCCAACACTCAATTGGGAGTGAGAAGATATGTGATTGCAATGAGGTTTCCTATCCTCATCGTGTCATTAAATCTTAAGTGAGTGCTTTGAATCTTTAGTATTTTTAATTTTGGATTAATATTTAAAATTAAGATTTGATTGCTTACACTTTATTCCCAAAGCACTCACTGATAGAGTAGCAGGGCATTATACCTCAAATTAGTATCGAAGCTTATGATCGGTTCATTATATTAATTAAAAGTAGGACAGAACAGCTGGGCAATTAAAAAATTAATTTAAAAAATGCAGTTTAAACAAAATTATAATTATGATTTTAAAAGAACACACCATAACTATCGTGAGCATCAAAATTACATACATACATTTGAGGGGAGTGAGTGGATTGTTAGTTTGGAATACTTTTAGTTCACCAAACCAATTTACTATCTATCCAATTTTGAATTACTTGAATGTGCTAAATCTAACTATCTAAGTTAGTTGACCATGCTGAATTGTTTTGGCAAAGTATAGGAAGTGAATTAAAATCCCTATGGGCTAGCCTAAAACATATTTTTAAATGATATCTATCATTTGATGAATGCAAGGATTTGCTGCACAAACAATTTAAGTACTATAAGCAAATGGGATGGAGTGTATGGATCTTATGATAGATTTTTTAACATTTGTATGGATACTATGAAGGCAAATATGAGGTTCAAAGGGACAATGAGTAAAAAAATTTATTTATTGACAACATATTATTATCATGCACTCATGCGACTTTCATATTTTTTTAAGTTTTAGATTAAATATGTTCATTGTCTAATTAAATATTAAATCGTGTAAAAATATGAATGAACATATGAATATATTTCATTTTTTGGTAATTTGAGGCACTGATGTTTGTTCGTTCATTTGAATACGATTATGCATTGTATACAAAATGCATATCACACACTTGAGAAGTATGTTTCACATTACATGCAAATTGGTTGTCTAACTTGATTGTTTATGATTGGGGCCTATTCACAAACTACATAATATCTTTTAACATGCACCTACATACACATATATAATGTAAGCATAGCTATGATTTACTTGGTTGCCAATGACATCTATTTTGTAGGGAATTATAGAGTAGCAAACTTTTAAAATATAAACAATTAGGGATTTACTCTTTTATATATGTTTCTATTGTTTTACATTAGGTTCACCGTTTACATATATTGTTCTGTACCTGTGTTAGTGACTATGGATATTAGTAGGATTATAGGTTTACACACCACTTGCATGTTTGGCCCATTTAAAATAGAATACAACTAGCCTATTATTCTAGTAGGAATAGTGATTGTGATATGAGCTCATCATGCTGGACATAGATATATGAAGACACATGCCTTGCTAGCCTTGTCATGTCATGCCCATGTAAGTCTGCATGTAGCCATGTAGTCTAGGGTCCATTTGAGGATAGATAACCTAAACATAAGCCACTTCTTCATCCAGTTAGTTTAGGATATGTCCATCTACTCTCCATCTAGGGATGAACCACCCTTCACTTTCACATGTGACTAGGCAGATTGAATGGCATTCCTAATCCAAGTAGGATGTAACTCCAAGCTTCTATCTTCCTACTATATTGAGGATAGAGAGTTGGGCTTTCTTAGTTACACTTGATCAAGTTATAAGTCCCATTCCAATATCTCCTTTGTCAGATTGAGGAGATGTTTGGGCTTGTTTGATTCCACACGATCACGCTGTAAGTCCCTTCATTACCATCATTTCTCTCTATTCTTCATATCTCTTCTACCATATTGAGGAGATATTCAAGACCTCTATCATATCTTTGATATCTTCTCTACCATATTTAGAAGACATTTGAGCTTTCTTGGTCATGTGCCACCAAATTATAAATCCCATTTCGACATCAGATTTACCACATTGAGGAGATGTCTGGGCTTCTTGATCATATACAATCAAGCAATAAGTCCCACTCATTGGATGTCTACTTTACCATATTAAGAAGATAGTCATGCATTCTTGATCGTACATGATTGAGTTATAAGCTCCATCTCAAGTGTTGTCTCTCCACCACATAGAGAAGATACCCTCTTTTCCTACCATGAGGTCTTAGGGAGCATAGATAGCTTTATCAGCTTGGCATGTACCACAATGTAGTATTGTATGTCTAGTCCGAGTTTCACCCGACCCTCATAGGATAGTGGAGTATAATTTTCAGCTATTACCCTAGGACTATATCTGCACCCTTAATCTACAAGATCACCTTGAATGAGATAACCCATGATTGTTAACGAGGATCTTCATGTTACCACATGACTAAATAGATTAATGTAACCAACAAGTTTGAAACTATAAAACCATAGAATCTTGTTCAGATGCGTAATTCCCACTTGATAGATTAATTCACACTTTCCTATATCTGCATATTCCTTTTTTCTCTCGTTAGGTATGGTAACATGACAATACACATCTAGTCTTGGGCATCTCTTTATAGTTGACGTGGAGTTATAAGTACCTCTTCGCGTCTTTTCGGTACTTTTGAAAATACCTTTCTTGATTTATAGGATATTCCTCCCTTATCCTCTATAGAGTCATATAAGTTCCATTCAAATTTTGACTTGACTAGATTTACTTCGATCCTATTTGATTTGAACAAAAACATTGATTTCCTAATCGAGAGTGTTCTTGAATATGCGTGGGATATAATTAACCATAGGAGCTTATTTTTTATGAAATCTCGATGCTCAAAATTAAAAAAAATGAACCCTGTTCGGAGCTCATTCCTTGTAGGGGAAGTATCTCAAGCAAATACACTCAATCTGCCTCTTATTGGTCCTTGTGGGCCTATAGAATGTATCGATCAATTATAGTCAGTCATTTATTGCAGTGCCATAGGCTTCTTTTGAAGTTCACAAGATCCTATGATATTACTAAATTTTTATTGTATCTGCAGGACACTACAAATTCTCAGACCCCAAAATTTTTTCTTAATATCATTTACTGTGTATTTAAATGGAAGCAATCCCCTATATTGATTCTTTGTTATCATCTGTTGTTTTGTTTCGTTGCTTGTTCTGATATTCAGTTTGCATTCTATTTTATATCGTGTTTGTACTGGTGGAAGCATGGCTACTTTATGATACATCTGACTGATCTAATTGGGTTTGATATTTGTTAATTTAACTTTATTTTAGTCACAAAAATGCAGTTCGACCCTTTTGATTTTGAAAATGTCTGTATCACTGCAGGTTGCATGGGAACATGAGCAATTTTCTAGAGTAAGAGTAACTGCTTTGACACTTTCTGAACTTTCTGTACCCCCTGAACTACTGGAAAGTACAGGGGGTCTACATGATTCGAGGTAGGGCTGCATATATTTAATTTACATTTCTTTCTTTTAAGAGGTTATATTTGAGAGCTGGATTTTCCTGCAGGAATTTAGTAGATGAAACAGCAGTCTATAGAAGTGTAAAATTAGTTGCTGAGAGCCTTGCTGTAAGATCTCTGATTCCACTTTATGGGCCTATCTATAGTATTTCATGCAATATTTCCTACAGTACTTCAAGCTTCCTTGTTTGGGGGCAGGTTTATACTAAAATTTTGTACTGTGAGCTAAAGAAAGATAGTTTATGATTCAAACAACCTTTCAATTTAATGTGTTCCTGACAATGGTAGGGAAGGGAGCTGGGCTTCTTTTTTAATGAACTTGGCAATGGGAAGTGTGCAATCTTATTTTGACTATTGGACTTATGTTTTAAAATGTGATGAAAAGATGAGGGAAATTTGACCCACTTAGCATGTCTTCCCTTAGGCTTATTTAGATATTTTAGGGCTTTGTGGTCTGAATGTAAAATTAATTTATTGGCAAATCGATAATGATTACAACACTCTAAGACGCAGATGATAATGCAAAATTCTTTATCATAAGCAAAGTATTAGCGTCGCGCCTCATTCAATTTTTCCATTAAAATAGACAATCAAATGCCCAATTTTGGCTTAATACAGCACCAATACTCACATTTGAGGCATTACCATCAAGCTTAAAGATATAGTTGAAATTAGGAAGTGCAATGACTAGAGCGTTGGTCACAGTTTAAGTTTTTCAAGATTAGAATAGGCTGCAAGTGGGTACTATTTAATATCAGACAGTTTTAATATGACACTTATGATTCAATATGAAGTCGTATTTCTATGTTTCTCATTGTATTATAATTCTATAATCATCACGGGGTAATACAAATAAAGATGCAATCTCCTTCCTTCATGTCTTATGTTTTAGGTGTTTAAGGAAGATGAGGTGCCTTGGACATTTTGCTTTCTCTGGAATTTTTCTTAAGATAACTCGAGCGCTTTGACATTGTTTCTATTAAGGTGAAGGGTGCATCAAGTGGGTCCTATTTTAATCTTTCTGTTTTTATATAAAAAAATATTTTTTAAATTTTTTTGCTCTATTCTTATTTGCTCGGTGATATAAAATTATTATTAAATGATATTAATTTATCACAATTTTATCCCATATACTTTCACTGTGATACTTTGTTCTTTGTATAAGTTCTATCATCTATTTTTAATGTTTTTTTTTACTTACCAAGGGAAGCATAATATTCTTCTCTCTTCTTTATGATTCACTAGCATTGTTGCAAGCAGATTTGCTTGATGGCAGGTAACTGAATTGGGGCTGGCTCTTGGCAATTCCCCCTTCACTTGGGCCTACTGGTTGGGTCCAGGAACTGGTCTATTGATGCTTTTAACCTATTTTAGGAATTTTTATTTTATTTTATCATTTTATCCATTCCTAGTTTAGTCTAAAGAATTGGTTAGTTCTTATTTAGGTGGTGGTTGGCCTGAATCTAGAAGAGTAGGTGAAGTTTTTGTACTTTAAGAAGATTTGCTCTCCTTTATTTAAGAAAGTTGGTTTAGATTTTTAAATTTTAAGGAGAGATTATCTCCTTGATTCATACATTTTGTTGGGATTTTGATTTTCTTTTTCTACTACAACAACAACAAGTCTTTATCCCACTGTGAGGTCGGCTACATGATTTTCTCTCTATTATGAATATATGTATTCCAATTAAACAATAATATAAAAAGTCAAATTTCATAGAATTTTAGGTCTCACTCTTTCTCCTCTCCTCTCTCTACCTCCCCTCATTGGCGGCTCCAAGGCCAAATCAACGCTGATGGCCCCCTCCACACATTCTCTCTTTGTTTTTGAAAGGTATTGAATGCCTAGAAGGCTTGGAAGCAACCATGGTCAACCAAACTTCACTTTTTAGGGTCTCAGATATTCAAATCTATCACAGAATAACAAATCTATTTAAGGACAAAATCACTGCCATTTATTGTTGAGCAAGGCTTTTTGTTTGATTTTAGATATGGCTTTGGTCAATGCTATTTTGCTATCAAAAGATAGTAAATCAATGTAACCACCATTTATTGTTGAGGAATTGCAAATCAGTTGAGCTGCTTTGGGTCCATTAAGTCTCAGCTTGAATGTTAGAGGCATTCAAGTACTAGATTTGACCTTCCAAAGTTTGTTTGGACATTGGTTGTGTCAACCCCAGTTTGTCTGGACATCGATTCAGAAAAAAACAAGACAATTTTTACTTTTAATATGACACAATGGAAAAAGAAGGATTCATGTAGCCGACCCCATGTAGTGGGACAAAGGCTTGATGATGTTGATTATGTATAAGTCATGAAGTGACAATGCGTTCAAGTTCCTTCGTATGCTTTTACTTGGTCCTAAGCAATGTAATTTCAAACAAAACTACTTGGGTTTCGTTTGGGACAGCTTTTTTATTGTTTCTTAAAGCAGCTTTCTAGTACAAAAATTATTTTTTGTACTAAAAAACTGTTTTAAGAAGCAATAACAAAGCCGTTACAAACGAAGCCTTAATTTCTACGGTCGCACTTCCATGAAGGTGAGCTCATGCTTCATTCTTTATTTAGTACCTTGATCTAAATTTCGAATCCATTGACAGTGTAATGTCAAATCCAGATTTGATCACCATGCTATTTAACCATTTTTGTATCTGTTTTCATTATCTTTTGTTGTTTTCTAACTTGTTGAATTCTGTCCCTGCAGAGGCATATTTATGGACAACAAGGTAGAAATATCCAGATTTTTGCAGAAAGCAGTAGTTTGGCAATTAATCCCTCCTACATAGCTTTGTGGCTAGATCTTTTGTCACGTACTCCTAGAGTGGCACCCTTCCTTGAGAAGACGAACTCATTCATTTCCGCTTTGAAAAAGGTACCAAGCTCTTACAATCGTAGCATTTTCCAATGCACATTGTATGTCTTCATTCTTTTGTTGGGAAATTTACATACATACCACTTTATTTCATGCTATTTACACATCTAACACTCAAAACATTAATATTACATGTCTATCACTCATATACAACTTTAATATCAAATATACCACTCCTATAATTCATTTCTACCATTCATACCAGCTTATAAACTTTAATATTTCATTCCATATACCCAAATTTGTTCTATGGGTAGTAAACATGTAATATTAATGTTTAGGATGTTAGATATGTAAATAGCATAAAATAAAACAAATCCCTATAGGAAAATGGTAGCTGAAGGGTCAAAAGAAAAAGAATAAAGCTCACTGATATCATATTATCAATAAAATGGGCATATCCAATATATCAAATGCTTAATTGTTATATATAGTCTTATATGATCTTTGTAAAATGTTGCAGGAACTATCTGATCATACAGTTGATGTGTATGGAACGCATGAAAGCATTGATGGGATTTTCACTTTCTATGATTCAACAACAGCAACTCTGAACATTTATCAGGTGCTGTGCAGTAATATTCCTTCCTAATTTATTACTTACAGTAAAATCTTTCTGTTAGCATTTTTTTTTTCTGTTAGCATATCTTATGTTCCTATGCAAGGTGGATAAAAGAATAGTATTTCTTAGTAATAGTATACTACTTCAGAGTTTGTTTCTTCTAGTCCTCATTGGCTGTTCTTCAGATTACATGAATCCTGAAAGCACAGAGTAGGGAAAAAAATTGGGTGAGGTTAAATAACCAAATTTTCATTAAAATGAGTTTTAAAATCTTTAAGGCTTCGTTTGAGACAGCTTTCTTGCTATTTTTTAATACAAAAAATTTAATTTTTGTACTATAAAGCTGCTTTAAGCAGCAGTAAAAAAATTGTCTCAAATAAAACTTACATTTATTTTGAGATGATAAATCCAAGAGTTTTTACTCAGCCTTACCCAAAATTTCTCCTACATATATCCCATAAATACTTTCAACTTTAAGCAAAGAATCCCCTAAGTAATTAGGTGAGAACATCTTGAACAAAATTTAATCTGGACGAGTTTTAGAAACCTTGTATTTTGTTTAATATTTGCTTAGAAATAAATAATTTATCAACTCTTGTCTTAGTTGCACTTATTTCAAAGCACTTTCAAAGGCTTAAAACCCATTATGATCTAAATTTGGTCAAAATTCTCTTATCTCTTTTTTTAAGTCTAAATTTGAAGTTAAGATCCATTATGAACTAATTTTGATTGACATATTCATACCCAATTTTTCTTTCGCTTTTATGTTCAGCATTAATACAATGTATTAAAAAATTCATATCATGATTATTCGGCAATGAAGAAAATATTAGAAATGATCTGTCTTTATTAGATTTAAACGAGAATTTGACCTTTAACACGACACAATGGAGAAAAAGGATTCATGTAGCCGACCTTACGTAGTGAGACAAAGGCTTGATGTTATTGTTGTTGTTGTTGTTGTTGTTGCAAACTTTGCTCCTCCTGCTATATATACTAAACACAGATTCCTTTCCCAGATACTATCAATTATTTTAAATAATTAACCTATCATGAACTAATACAATACAAATTGTTGATTGATTATTATAAAGGAATTCAAGAATTTTCACAGCTATCCTGATGATCCACCTTCTCTCCCATAAAATCTCACATGAACTAATAAAATATATTAATATGCAGGTCGCAAGTGTCACTTTTGATCTACTCTTGCTGCTTGTGCTGGGCTCCTATATAATTCTTCTCTTCTGTTTCCTGGTCATCACAACACGAGTATGCATCTTTCATCCATTGTGCTAACAGGTTAATTTTTGACCTATTTAAAAAATAACTAACCTGTTAAAAATTCTTGTTTTTTTTTCTTTCTTACAGGGTTTTGATGATCTGATCAACATGTTCAGGCGGCCACCATCTCGGAAAACGAAAGCAGCTTAATCCTGGTAGGCATTGGATTGTATAATAACCTCCATGAATGGAATAAAAGAACTTTTTCAGTTTTAGTCAAAAGATAAGCCATTTTTTTATGATTTAGAAAGAAAATTTTGTTTGTTTTCTGGATAAATTTATTATACGAGCATTAACAGATGGTTTTTTTTCTGCTTGGTGGATCAGTAGGTCGCTTGATATTTGGATTATTTGCAGTGATTCTTTGTATTTTTTTAGGGTTTTGAGAAAGCGGAGGTTTTGCCGTTTGTTTTCATGGTTTGGTGGTGCTGTGTAGAAACAGCCTTTGTTTGATTATGGGCCTTCTTTTAGGCTTTGTTTGCCACAGTTTTTTAGTGTACTCAAAAGCTGTTTTAAAAAATTTTCACAATAGTGAAAATTTATCCTAAACAGATTAATTATTATGTGTTGATGTTGAATCTCGTCCGGAGATCAGCCAAAATATCACGGCTCGGTATTGTTGATATGGTGTATTCTAATTGGTCTTTGAACAACGTTCTGCATTCAACTCCGCACAGAATAATTTTTTCTCAAATGAAGCTTTAATACGTTTCTTGGAGTGGGTTAGAGGTTTGATGTATTCTATTTGCAATGTATTTTTGATTTTTTTTGTTATTTGAGATAAAAAAACAAAGCAAAATTGAGTAATTTAGAAGGAAAACAATTTATGTGTGAATAAACTCATAAATTATATCAGGATTACTTTATTATCGAATTTATATGAGATTAGTGTTTTATATGGAAAATATTATATATTGCACCAATATTACAAAGGACATACTAAATAATGCATTTTAAATACATAAAAAAGATTGCCCCTATGCTTTTTTAAATTTAAATTATTATTATTAACTTATTTTATATAAAATATAATTTCTCTCAACATATATTTAGACATGATAAATATTAAAATTATATATAAATAATGTAAAATTTTAATTATTATATATAAGTTACCCAAGGTTTTAATAATTAAAATAAAAAACAAATGCAAAAAGCATGCATATATAAATTATGAGTCATTTATATTAACAAATATATAATATTAATTATATATTGAATACTTAATGAGGCAAATATGATCTAATATATTCTTATTTGACCTGTTTTGTATCTAAGAAATTAAGTTTAATATTTAGTCTATCTCAAAACACTTAAGAAATAGAAATATCAATTTTTCATAAATGACAAGCTTTTTTATAGAACGTATGTGTTAAATATACTGTAATTCATAAATTATATTTGGATAATTTACATCTATACCATAAATTTTTTATACATTTACATTTCTTAACATAAAATTTTATGTTCATTTATAAATAATTTTAATATTTAAATCATATTAAATTATAGGCATGAAAAATATATTTTATTTTAAATAAATTAATATAAATATATATAACATCAAGATTGTTGAACTTATCTAAAGATACACATAAGTTAAGTAAAAAATAGATAAGGTGCCATCTGAATCAACAATGAGGAACTCTTCTTCTGCCATTTTACAATATAAATAAGTGAAAGTATATAAGAACATAAATGATTAAAATACAGCTCAATCAAGCAATATAAAATAAACAAACGATATCTTTGAGTGTAAGTGTGGATGGAAGACTATGATCACTTGAACTGGTCGAGTCAAATTAGCTTTCGTTCTTCCTACAGTCCCTACTGACGGGTTGACGAAGTTGGGGTTATGCAACTACTGCCGTTCTTATGACATATTGAGCAGACAAAGCGTCCTTTATTGCTGAGAAAGCTACTCAGTAGTAGATGTTGATTGAATTTCTAAGAAATAATTTGCATTATTCTTCTGAACTGTTCTCAGACATCTCTTTCCTGTATGCCTTCAATCTTTCCTTGAATTTTTTACTTTCTTCAAAATTAGCCTTTCTCCTCAAAGCTTTCTGAACAGAACAAAGGATGGCACAGTCAGTAACTTATCATCAAGGAATGGAACTAACTAACACCATAATCACCATAGAAATACAATAACATCAAGCCTTTTGTCCCACTACGTGGGGTCGGCTACATGAATTCGTGAAATTCTCGTTTAAATCTAATAAAGAAAGATCATTTCTAATATTTTCTAACAAGTCTTTTTAGGTCTGCCTCTACCTTTCTTAAATGGACATAATGGAGAAAAAGAATGAGTATGAAAATCGTAAGAATAAAAAAAATTTCATTGGAGATGTCGTGATAAATTTTTTTATCAAAATGAGTATGAAAATCGTAAGATTTGCTTTAAAATGAGTGTAAAATAAAATTTGATTAATATCTCATACTTATACTATCTCAAAGTAAAGCCTCACCCAAATTTGATCAGAATATTCTAAAATAAATAAAAAATTGGGAAAAGTGTTGTGACCAAAATTTTATCATAATGGCCTTCAAAACTCTTAAATTTACTTTAAGGAGAGTGTAATATAAGCATTAATGAACTCAAAATCAAATAAAAAAAATTTAAAATGCATCCCCAAAATTTCTCCTTAAAAAAACTTACTTCTTCCCTGAAACAGCGGTCAAGCTTCAACTTGAGATCAGTGCACTCTCCAAAAAATTTTCCAATTGGATGGTCCTGGTGACATTTTTGGAATAGCTCGATGATCTGAAATGTTGGTGTATGGTAATTAGCAATCAAAATCACACAAAAGGACAAACACGGAAGAGAAAAGACGGAGAATAGATTTCTGGAGAAAATCATTGACCATGCATTAGGCTGAGCGGATAAATAATAAATCAGTATGCATTTAGTAGTTTTCAACCGTTCTCACAACTCACCCAATGACATTTGCAAGGCAACAAGCTAGACTGTTGAGTGTTGGCGAGGGGGGGTAAACGAGTCAAAGTTTTGGCACAATTGAGCTCAGCTCGTCATGTTAAAAGCGAGCTCGAGTCGAGCTCAAAAGTCGAGCTCATGCTCGACTCATTCCATTGTAAACGAGATCGAGCAGCTCGTCTAGCCTCCGCGAGGTCATATCCTGTCCAGTCCGGTCTTTTAAAACTGCGGCGGGAGGGGAGAGAGAGAGAGAGAGGCAGACCATTGAGATACGCGTAGGATTTATGAGTTCTTGAAACACATGTCGGGATTTTAAATTTGCAACCGGACTTTAGAGTTTAGAACATAGCGGGAATTCAAAATATATGGGGCATTTATTGTTAATTTTTTTTTAAAAAAAATTCAAATTTAATAATTTCGAGCCGGCTTGCGAGCTCGAGCTAGACTCATGAGCTCGATAAGCTCAGCTTGCGAGCCCATAAATGAGTCGAGCTCGAGCTAACTCGCAAGTCGGCTCGACTCACTTACACCCCTAGTGTTGGTCATAGATTTAATCCCCTTTTTGAGATACGCCTAGTGCCATCCAAGTGACCCATTTGTCGACGACTCCAAGAGCACACAGGGGAGAATCTATGACTCAGAGGAGTGTAGGAAGTTAGAAATCTGGGTCTTAATTATCATGATGCTCATGGTTCATAGAAAATGATGACTAGAGGTAACGGATGTAATCGACTACCGCATGAAATGGAGTTGGCATCCAACTTACGGTTAGCTAGATTTACTATGGTGGTGGCTCACAAATGGATGTCGTGCATCTACACTCTTGCGCCTAAAGAACATTGCTCTTATCACTTTTATAGTGTCCAATTAATAGCCACCTATCCTAGCTAGTCGCTCAACGCGCACACAGAGGTGGCTGCCTCCACCTGGTGCTTCCACCATGGCTAGTGGGCAAGCAAACCTCCAATCTCTCAATATGGAGCAAGTGAAGGTGGAATAAAATATGTTATTACTAGTAAAGAATCAGCCCAAGCTCTTGTATGACTAAGAGGATTTATGTTATAGTGGAGGCCTCAATGAGAGAGTAGTAAACAAGAACCTAACGTTCATAAGCCAACAATTGGGAATTAGAGTAGGAAGCTTTTTCCTTAATTATTTTGCCTAAAATCTATAAATTGAGGGATTTGAGGTCTGTTGTAGAAGAGAGAAAGAGAGAGCAATTATAATCCTTCTTCTCAGCCAATATAGTGAAATCATACTCCCCTCCCAGACATCTTCGCCGAACAACATAAATTACCGTGTTCTTTGTGTTATTTTTTGTGTGATTTATTGTTTCCGCTATATTTATTGCACAACAGTTGGTATTAGGCTGAATTTCAATGGGATTTCCGGTGGCAACTTTAAAAACGGGAGATCAGTATGCTCTTTCAAAATATATTTTTGACATGATACCTATACATTTCATTGCTTCACACTAACATTTCTACCGTGGCTCGAAGCATAAATGGCATTCCTCAAATCATCGTGAGTGCCCAATCAACAGCCATCTCACCATCAATAGCTTAATACTAGTGATGTGACTACCTCAACTTTGTGGCTCCATCATAGCCAATGTATAAGCACATTTTATCTTTTGACAATTTGGTGTTAGCAAGGAGGTGGAGTAGGAGAAGTCACTACAGAGATAAACGAATTCAAAGCTCTCACATAACTAGCAACATTGCCTTATAGTGAAAACTTGCAACATTATATGAACTTTTTAGCGATATTAAGGAACCTAACAACCATAGAGACAGCAATGAGCAAGAGCCTAAGTACAGGATCCAAGAACTTCAATTGCATCCCTAAACTTTGTAGTTACACTAGATGTCAGTGCTTTATCCTAAAGCTTACTATTTTCTCCCTCATCTCTCTCTCTCTCTCTCTCTCTCTCTAGCACTTGTTGCTTCACTTTTTCTCCTCTCCATGCCTCTCGCCTATGAAGCATGGACACTTTTAAAGGCCTTCCGTGTACATTTTAGGCACTTGTTGGACACACGCATGGATGAGTGGCTTTACCCTTGGAGATAAGATACGAAATGAGCATATACGTGAAAAGGTTGGAGTAGCTCCAGTAGAAGATAAGATTAGAGAGAGTCGCCTTAGATGGTTTGGTCACATAAAACGGCGGCCTTCTGATGACCTGTTTAGGAGAGTTGATGTATTAGATTTGACTTATGTTAAGAAAGGTAGGGGTAGACCTAAAAAGACTTGGTTAGAAAATATTAGGAATGACCTTTCCTTATTAGATTTAAATGAGAATTTGACTTTTAATAGAACACAATGGAGAAAAAGGATTCATGTAGCTGACCCCACATAGTGGGATAAAGGTTTGATGTTGTTGTTGTTGTTGTTGGACACACGCATAGCTCTGACACAGCAAGCAAATAATAAAATGCATTGGAGGCCTAGTTTATTTATTTTATTGGAGTACTTTTTGAAAGTGCAACTAATTTACACATCGCTTGTATTGATTTTGTGAGCAGTTTCCTTTTTATTATTGTTTCTTTCTTAAAGAAGACATATTTTCATGCATTTCTTTTATTACAAATAAGGTTTGTTTTTCTTTTATTATTATAAAATTTCTTTTATGAATTATATGCATATGATATTATATTGTATTCTATGATGCTTTAAGTACAAAATACAAGAAATTATATATTTAATACTAATAATTTATGAAATATAACAATACTCCATGGCATGTTGTGTCCTTTTTTTTTTTCAATTATGTCATTTTATTGTATTTGCATCGTGTCATGTCCATGCTTTATAGCCTCTTGCTCTTCAATTGTCTCATTTTCTCTCTTTACCAATTGCTCTATCACTCTCCTTTTATCCCTCCTTTTCTACAACCAAGTATCTCTTCAACCTAAATATTAAGTAAATCACATATGTTTGAACCTTTTGATGTCAATAACAACTCTACAAGATCTTTGAGAGATACAGATAGAAAAATTAAACAAATAGTAATATTGCTAATGTTATACATACTTCAACACACATTGGATGCCGATGCAGTGTTAGAGGAGGATGCATTGTGACACAGTGGAGGGCTTGAGCACCTACATGTGGGCAAAAAAAAGAGAAGAAATTGCACGTTAGGTACTATTGCAGCTATTACTCCAAAACTATATAACCTGCAATAAATAAAACAACATAAAGAAAGCTGGAAATCTCCCAAGAGTAACAGTTTTGCATGCTTGCTTGTGATATGCCATCAATGTAGAGGTCATTTAATGGTATTTGTTCCACTTTTATTTGCAATAAGGTGTTATTCAAATTTAAGTAGTATTAAGTGCAGTTCAGTTATCCAATTATTATTTTTTTGCTTCATTGCCACAGTCTTAAGAGATTGATTGCATTGTTATAAAAAATGGTCAATGATGCTCCAAGACTTAATTTCTCTTCTCTTCTAACTTTTAAAAATGATGGAAACCTTACAGAACCCAATCAGGATTTAGCTTAAATGAGACCCTCATTACTTCAATCTTCCATAGGTGTAAATCAAACATTATTCAATAAAATTTAGATAATGATGCCTAAAAGAGCAAAAAACAAACAATCCCATAGGCAGAACAAGCTAAACATGGTAAGCCATGTCTCATGCGAATCAATGATCAGCATTGCATAATGCATATTAAAGCTTCTAACTTGACCAATATAAAAAAGACTTAAAAAACTCATTGAGATTGTCAAGAAGGAAACATAAAACATTACCCCGCTTCTAGCAGCAACATTCAAATTTAAAACTCCATGTAAAACATTAATAACGGGTTGTCAGACTACAAGTGGGATTTAATTCAAATAGGATTTGGTAAATCTTGGAGGCATCAAATCCTGAAATGTTTTTTGGCATGAAAGATATTATATCTGATTAAATTCTAGAAAACTGTTAAGACATATAGCTTTACCATTTATGATTTAAATGGAGGAGAAGAGGAATCTCTTAAATCCTACTACTTCCTCCAGGATTTACTAAATCACGAATTTAGCCTAAAATGGGACTAAAATGACATTTAAGAAGGTAGTAGGATTTATGTAGCTCGAAAAAATATTTGGCAAGATTTAGGGCTGTTTGGTAGCGGGACTTAAGCAGGATTTAGGCCCGACGTTGAGAGCGCTCAGTAAATCCGAATCGATCCTCAATCCCGGATTTATGGATTTACGGTGTAAATCCAGGATTTACAAAATCCCTCCGTTCGGAGGATTTAAGGGATTTCCGGACTTGCAAGCGAACGCTTCTCGCGCGGCGGCCTTATTGTGAAGAAAAATGGTTACCTTCACAGCGGGCGAGATCCCTTTGTGACTTCCAATCCGACGTCGTCGACCGGGACGAAGAAGCGACGAAGAAATGGCCGCGAGGAGGAGGAGAAGCGACGAAACGCTACTTCAGGCGAAGTGAAGCAGCAACGAAGAAATGCCGCGGGGAGAAGAATAGCAACAAAGAAATGGAGAAACCCTACATTTAAATTATAAATTAATTTAATTAATTTATTTAAACTTAATTAATATAAATTATATTATTTATATTTATTAAAACTAAAACTAGTAATTATTAAAAATATAATTGCTTATACAACTACACCTCTGACACGATTCAGGCTTTGTTTTGAATAATTTTCTTATTGTTTTTTAAAGCATCTTTATAGTATTAAAAATTTATTTTAAAAAATAGTTAGAAAGCTATCCCAAACGAAACCGTAACAAGTCCTACCGCCAGAAATCGAGCGAATGAGGTAGCTCGAAACAAACTGAAACCATCCTATAATTGTAGACCCCAAAAGGAGAAGAGAAATGAAGATGAAGATTTAGAAGAGATCCACCATTGGAATTTGTTATTTTTTTTCAATGAAATTTTAAATTTCATTTGGGACGGCTTTCTTACTGTTTCTTAAAACAACTTTCTAGTACAAAAAAAACTTTTAAAAAACAGTAAGAAAGTCATCCCAAAAGAAGCCTTAAAGACAAAAATACCGCTACACATACCACATAAAAGTGGATATTTACATATATACCGTCAAAATCTTTTTTTATTAACAAAAATACCATGAACTATCACACCTATAAAAACATCTACTAGTTTTGATTAAGCCCAAACACTTCCCTTAAAAAATCATTTCATTGTTCATAGTAATAATAACAACATTATTTTAGGATGTTAAAGTGTAAGGGAATGAAAATAATAAATAAATCAATGATTATATGCTCATAATAAACTAAATTACTAAGACTAATTCTTCATTTTCCTTCAATTCTTACATTAAATATCCCAAAGAAGCTGAAACTCTTCAGCCAACTCTGTACATTTCTGCTTATATTCACAACATTTGACTCTGATTAGATGATGCAAAAACCAACCATTTTGATTTCATGAGGGATTCACATTCATATAGGGTTTAGGGTTACAAATATCTGATCAATTCCACTGAGAATTTTCCTTTCCTTGTGGTTTTGATTTCCCCAATCTGCAGTTTAATAGAAAGATGAGATTAATGATTGTATGATATATGCAATTAAGGTTTTATTTGGGACGGCTTTTTATTGCTTTTTAAAATAGCTTTTCGGTATAAAAATTTCTTGAATAAAAAAATTTGTACTAAAAAACTGATTTAGAAAGCAATAAGAAAGATATCTCAAACGAAGCATAAAGCTACAGCAACCCACCTTGAAAATGAACAAAAACATATATATTGAGTAGAGAAATCACAAACCAATGAATTTGCATGAAATTATGTAATCTCATGCAATATATTCAGCGAAATGGGCTCTAAATAATGACAAAGATTGCTTTTTGTTGTATTTAATTTGCATGAAACTATGTAATTTTGATTTATAGACTTTACAAAATAATAAAAATACTTATTGTAAATAATAATTATTAAGACGTTTGCATGTAATCAGAAGAATGGTTGCTAAAGAAGATGAAATATGAATTTTTTGGGGGGTTTACATGCATACCACAAATTTTTTTATATATTTATATATCTAATATCTAAATCTTTATATTTACTTATAAAGCACTCAAATATCTAAATTGCATTAAAATATTACTAATATTAACTTATTTAAAGTAAAATATACCTTTTCATCCATATATTTTTATATATTTTTATAGGATTAGACACTAAAAGGTATATAAATAATTATAAATGTTTGGAAGTTAGATATATAAAGAGAAAAAAATTGTTGTATGCATGCAAATCTCCTAATTTTTTTTACCAAAAACATTAACTTTACAATCAAAATATAAATTCATGAAGACATTTAATATTTATTATAAAATCTATAACAAAAATACTAAAACTTTATGAAAACCGACTCTTTTTGTGGTATTCTATTACACATGTCATGCATTTTCATGCAATATTATAAATATGATGTTAGAATACATTAAGATTTTATTTGGGACAACTTTTTTTATGCTTCTTAAAGCAGCTTTCAAGTATAAATTTTTTAATTTTTGTACTAAAAAGTTATTTTAAGAGGCAATAAAAAAATCATCCCAAACGAAGCCCAAGTCAAGTGTTGATTTTGCAAACTTAGGCTTCATTTGGGACAACTTTCTTACTGTTTTCTAAAGCATTTTTTTAATACAAACATTTTTTTGTTGAAGAAACTTTTGTACTAAAAAAATTATTTTAAAAAATGATAAGAAAAATGTCCCAAACGAAACATTATTATGAGGAAAATTGAGTCGGGATATCTTCATCCAATCAATCTCTCTCATAGACCACCCTTTTTATTAGAACTATTGGAGAGAGAATTAAACCAATTATGCAAAGGGATGCCTCAACTTCAATTTTGAAATAATTTGTAACAAGATGGGATGAGCTTTACCTTTAGCCTTCCTTTCCCACTTACAGAAACAATATCTCCTGTCCTGAGTATGGTGCCATTTTTCATCACCGGAGACCAGTTTAGTCGCACATCTCCATTACTGAATAAAAAAATAATATTTTTTTTATTTCTAACAAGTTTTGGTGAATTTTAATCAATAAATACATGACCTCATAGATAATGAAGAAAAAAATATTTCAACAAAGCTTGAAAAAATTGTAGGAATAAACAGGTTTTCATTGATAATAAAGAAAAAGTATTCCTTTCCCACTTACAGAAGTGGAAGAAGAAGAGGAATAATGGATCTCAAACTCAATAAGCTCTCTCACACTGGGATGTCGAACAACCTTAGGACCAACTCCCCCAGTCATTACCTAGATGATCTATTAGGCCGGCCCAAAGGGGGCCGGCTAAACCCGGTCCAACCTGGACCGGTTCTTACCCACAAGAGATGGACCAAAGGGGGCGAAACCAACAAAGATGGGGTGGATGGAGTAGAGAGACCCATACACTAATGATGTTTAGGATTTGAGTGAAAATTCAAATTAGGGTTGTTTAGAGATTAAGAAAATTTTCTTGTCTTTAATTATTTTCTTCTTGTTAGGATTAGGATTATCTTGAATTTAAAGACCGAATTTGAGATCAAGGGTTTGCTTTTGGGCACTAAGCTTTGGCTAGAAATTTCGAGAGTTGAATCTTCCTCCCGACTTGAAGATTCTGGTATCGGTTTACTGTTTTCTTCTTCTATTGTTGAAATTGAAGTATTTTTTTCCTCTTATTTCTCTCTTATTTCTCTACAAAGCTTGAAAAATCTGCACCGTTTCTGCACTATAGGTGGTTGTTTTCTATCATGATCCTAATACTATGAATAACATTTTTGGGTATAATGGTTAGTTGTTGTTGTTGTTGCTCCTTGGCATGATACCTTTTTATCTACTATGAGCTGCGTCAAGAACTCCTTTAGATGGCCTTCTTTGATTAGCTTCTTAAGAGGGACCTTCAAAATTTTACAATCCTCCATTTCATGCCTACAATTACTGTGGTCTAAACAAAATTTGAATTTGTTCCTCTATATCACATCATTCTACATAGGAGTGGGGCGTACTTGCCTAGATCTCCTATTAACGCCATATGGTCACCCTCGCGCTTGATATTATCCTGTTATTAGTGCAACAGGCACATTGATGATGGTGATTGCGTCAAATCTTCAAAATTTATTAGGACTTACACCAAGTCTCAGATTTTATTTATTAAAGAAAAGTAAATAGACAGGATACAACCAACAAGAGGAGATAGAAAAGAGTAACATGAAGCATTCAAAAACAAAGCTTATCTAGGAAAAATGATGGCCACAAAGAGAACATAAGGTTAAATAGCACAACTCAATATAGTGATGTAATTCAGAATTGATCTGATCAATTCCAACTCTTTTAAGGTTAAACTCAAAATAACTCATAAACGAATAATCCATAGCTTCTATAAAAAAATACAGAAAGTAAGTTTTATAGATACATAAAATTTAGAGCCACAGAATTAAAATATAGGCTGTTTAATGAATACCTGATTAAGCTAACAAGTTTGGATCTTGATATATTAAATCCAGCACTAGCTATTGCATCAACCCGCAATGATGCTTCAACCGTTGTAGACGATTTAGTTCTGCAATTAGGTATGTAAAGAACGTGCAAAGTAGATCAGAAAATAAGGCAAAGAGCAACACTAAAGCAAGGTGGAAGAATTAGTGGATTACCAAGATAAAAACCCCTGACCTTGGTGGCTCATACTCTAATGCAAACAAGGGAATCTGTTGACATGAGACAGGAACATTACCAACCTGCAAGGAAAGAAAGGAAAAAATAACTCAGACGAATAATTTTTTCTAAGAACAACTAATTATGAAATTCTCTTTCATGATTTTCATGACAATTTAATTACATTTTTTTTATTTTTCTTGCTTAATTTTTTTTAAATAACATATATATATATATATATATATTATTTTTAATATTTAATTATTTTAATATTGTACTTGCCCCCCCTCAAAATTGAAGCTGGTTCCGCCCCTGATATATATATATATATATATCTTAGACATGAGTGTCGTGTTACAAACATGTAGTATCTATTAATTCAAGATTGATGAGCAGAGGGTAAAAATGCGTATGTCATGTTGGAGTGGTGCAGACCAGCTAATGAGTAAAAATGTCGACAATGGGAAAAATATGGACTTTTAGAAAGTGCTACAAAACCCGGCCAGTACATAAAAACCCCAATTAAATAGGAAGTAGCTGAAAGCCCGGTATGACTTACGAGAGAGATGCAGATATACAAATATAAATAGATATATATCAAAGAGAGAGAGAGAGAGAGAGAGAGGGAAGGAGAGATGAGGGTGAGCGTTTGCAAGAGCAGATTCAACCTTCGGAAAGAACCTTCCTTCTATCAGAATAAACATGAGGACAAAATAATCTTGGTTCATGACATTTGTTGGAACTGCAAAACCTCCATTTGAATAAGAGAGATGGCCAATAAGAAGGATATGCATGAAAGTGGAAAATAATCCCACATTGGAAGTAAAAATAAGACTTGTGTTTACAATAAACTAAATATATCCCTTATGCATTGGCTTAAATTTCTGGGTTGATGAGTTGCTAAAAATCAATATAGAGAGTTTTCTATGAGTTCAAGGCTCATTTTAACCACATGAGAGTATGGGCTGGAACTTATGTGTTAGTTTTGCCGCACTTGCAAATTTCCATAAGAAAAACACTACCAATGTCTCATTCTTGATGAACATATGGTCTGTTTGGGATAGTTTTTTCATTACTTTGCTTTTCATAATGCAACTACAATTACATTTAGCAACTATTTTCTTGTTGCTTTCTCATTGTTTTCTAGAAATTTTTATAGTGAGAAACTGCTTTTTACATTAAGAAAGCATTTGTTCTATTTCAAAAAAAAAAACATATATATAATATTCATAGTAGCTTTCAAAAAATTACTTTCCCACAATAACTTCACAACCACTTTTACAAAATGATGCAATCATCTTAAACAAACCCTCAATCAAGTCAAACTTTTCATCTATAAAAGTCATCAAAGTTCAATCATTAGCAGGAAATTAATCAGGCCAAATTGTTAAAATCAATACTGACTATGATATCATTGAAAATAGGTTATAGACTCGTGTAGACACATTATAGAGTACATGTACAACTATGCCAAAAAAAGGCTAATTTTCTCCACTCCTCCGGTAGATGTACACTACTAACTGATTGACTCTGATTACTCAATTTTATGAAATTGAAAAATATGCATACCTTATTCAAGGCTGATATAAGAAATTCGGTGAGTTCAGGCACAACAACTACTTGGGCTCCCCTTTTCCCCTGTGAAAGAAAAGTAAGATATTGTCAAGCTTGTCAGATCAACAGAACACTTCGAATAACTTAGCACCTCATATATCCAAATTGTTCAAATATTTAGCTTCCCATAACAAGTACCTGCAGTAATATATCTCCAACCTTTTCTCTAACAATCCCTGTGCCAATTATTGAGCCAAGAAAATCTCCATGAGAACAAAGTTCAAACTCGAAGTTCCCAGAGATACTGAAAATGAGGAACGTTTAGCAAAGTTAAAGAAATGATAAAATAGTAAATACAGGTAGAGACGTGAAGACCTCAGAGCAGCAACCACATCTGGTTCGGTTGTAAAGATTTCTGTATTTCCAATAGAAATGCGACAACGTTCAGCCTATAAAATAACAATGGAGCTTATAATAACAAGTATAGTGTCCAAACTTGGTGACAGGAGGAGGGGAGGGGAGGGAAGAGGAGAGAAAAAGAGAGAGGCAATGGTTATTTATACGTTCAAAATTAACTGAAGATTTGAAAAGGGACAGAAAAGAAGTTGAGGGGAGGGGGGATATGGAGACAATACACTTGTTTCAGTATAACCTGTGGATATCCTCCATGAGCTACTGCTTTGACATCAGTTAATTTCTCTAGAGCAGAAATTGATTCTTTGAGAACTGGTGGGGTTAGAAAGTCCGTCTGTAGGATCTCTCTTCTTAATGAAGCTCTGCTTGCCTTACCAAAAAGGACAACATAAAAATTAAAATCTGCATAAGAATATACGAATGAAAGAAATAAGATGAAAAAAGCAAACTCCCTAAGGACTAATTTTACTTTTAAAAAGCACAAAAACGACTATCCTTAATAAGCAACAGATTACAGATTTGTCTAACTAGTGGTTAACGAAGACAACACTGTTACAATAGAACATGTATCGCAATATCACCTCTATTCACGCTGTGGAGAGCAATGAACCACAAAGGAACAAAAATAAGGCATATATAATAAAAAACTTGAATCAAGCATTGATGCATGAGAGGAACACATATTGGATAACCAATCTATTTGTTAACAAAGATAACATATATTAAAATGGAGCAATGTATCTCAACAGCACCTCAGCTCATAAAAAGTAAATGTCTTGTCTAGCATATTAATATGATTCATGCTCAAATAATCTCTCATTAGTAATAATGTGGCATGTGTCTTTTAACTAATGATTTTGCCACCAAATGACACCATATGTAAATAGTTATGACCAATGTTTAAAATTGCGTATTCAGGTATTGAGGCGTTTTTCATTCGTGAGGCGAGGCGTAAGCCTCAAAATCAAAAGATTGCGTAAACATAAAATGATAAATTTTGTATATAGTAATGAGTGAATAATATAAAATATAAAAAAGCATAAGATATGAAGTGAAATCAAAATATCCCAATAATAAGACAACATGAAATATAGTTCAACTCAAAATTCTATCTTTCCCAAATCCCAGTATTTTTTTCATTAACATATAATTCAAATTTCCAAAAATAAATAGAAATGACATATCACATAAGAACTCATAAGTCATCAGTACTGTCATCACTAAGGGTTTCTTCATTTGAATCATCATTATGATGAACTGCTCTCTCCCCTTCCTCTTCTCCTATAGAGTCCAATGTCGGGCATTTACTTCCTGATTTATGTAAGTTTTAATATATATAGTGTAAGGTGTAAGCCTCATGCCAGTGAGGCGAAGGCGGGCCTCAACCAAGTTGAGGCGCAAGCCTCATAAAAAAAATTCGAGGCGTAAGCATCGAGGTGTTTTTTACTTGAATTGTGCAAAGCGGGCCTCAAGGCGAGCCTCATATTGCGCAATTTTAAACCATGGTTATGACTAAGGCACTTTGATTGATTTTGCTGCCAAATAGCACCATTAAATTATGACTATGACCCGAGCTCATATTTTCCACAATGACTAAAAAACTCTTCAATATTGAATTATAGGGCGCAAAGATACTCTTGAATGAATCAATCCATGGCAACCAGGGGATCATTTGAGCTTTTATCCTGTATGCTTCCGGTGTTATCCTAGCTCGGACTACAGCCTGAGTCCTATATGCGCTGCATCTACTACCACGTTTTGGATCCTTATATAGTTTTTTTGGTTAATTTGGGTGGTATAGTTGTGGTTTTTTGTTCCTCATAAGTTTTTGTTGTTTCTTATGAGGGGTTTTTCCTTTATAAGCAGTTTTTATTTTACTTGTAATTGATCCTCTTTTCCATAGTAATAGAAGGGCTTCTGCCCCAAAATTTCCCAAAAAAAAAAAAAATCAATCCATGATTGCCAACAAGAATCATTAGCCAAGTTAGGTCAATTATCTCTTTTGGAATAAGTAGCCACTCTACCTTATCAACTAATCAATCACTGCCAAGCAGTCACTTTACTCTACCGCCTCCATAATGATGATGGTCATGTACGCCTCCTTAAGTTCTACCAATCCAATAACAATGGGGGGCTAGAGATTTTGAAACGGTTATGAGAAGAAGTACCTAAGACCATCGTGATTATATCATCTCCTTGCGGCTAGTAGCTCTACGCAGTCCTATAAATATCTTAGGTGATTGTAGAAGATGGACCTTTGGCCCATGGTGATTATACCAAATAGCCCCTTAACGAGAATACTTATAGCTATCATATTACACCACTTCCACTGCTCAAAATAATAATGAAATGAACAGCCATTTCATATCTTAAAATCATTAAAAGAAGAACAAGAAAATGAATCAAGAGAAGGTACCATCTCAAGAATGTTTATAACTGCATCAGCCACACTCTTGTCCCCAATCCTTTGCACTAATACATCGTTAAGGGTCCCGCTTCCCACTCTCTGAGCTAGGGCTTCCCCACACCTCCCTGTCGTAATACCACGATAATGTTTGATTCACTTCGTATTACTTCGACATTTTTAGGGCACCAAGACAGAGAAAGGGATACCTCTAGACAATGGAGGAGGCGAAGGGGAAGGAGAAAATTTCAAAAATTGGGGCAAGGAAGGGCCGGCCTTTGTGCTGCCGCCGGGGAGCCAGGCGGCGAAGCGAGCACTAACGGCGGCGATGGCCGTAATCATCTTTCGGGTTTTCTGGCCTCTCCTGCTACCGAGCAATTTTTTTTCGCTCGGAGGAGCTCTTTGGTTGGCTGAATTATGATTAAAAATAAATCCATGCAGCTGAAATTGAAAGAAAAAAAATCAGATATTCTAATAAAAAAATTAATCAAATTATTTTTTAAAATAATTAAAGGGTTACAATTATATAAAAGAAATACATGTTAAATGATATAAAGTGTAAAAAATATATAATTTATTTAAAATATTTGAAATTATTTTGATGATTTAAAAAAACAAATCTAAGTGAATTTTTTTTTATATTCGAAGTAAAATGAATTCAACATAAAGTACAATGATGATGCTGATCAATAGCAGATAATGAAAGACGACGAGTGGTGGCTATGGGTGATGGCCAAATAGGCAGATCCAGTGGCAGCCAACAGCTGGGGAGCATAGGACGGTGGTTGGCCAATGGCGACAAACAGCAGCTTGCGACAAATGGGGTTGGCCAGGGACAATAACAATGGAGTCAACTTGCGGTGCATTGGAAATTCGGCCAAAAACATTTGAGTTTAGAACATCAAAAATATAATATGGAGTGAAAAAGGAATTCAACAAAACTTTAATCTTCATTTCTCATTCATCAAACCAAATGTCAAAATTTTCAAATCGTCTGCATCTAGAATACTTTTCATTTCTTTCTCAGCAAATCAAATATCATGCATATGAAAAAAGAACATACATTATTCTAAATATATGAGTCTTGCAAAATTTTGATGTTCGGTTTGATAAAAAAGTAATGCAGAGTAAATTTTTTAATAATTCAATTTTCACTCTAAAGTTTATTTTACTATGTTCTAAAATCACACATTTTAGACTGAATTCCTTTCCACTACCGCCACCCGTCACCATCGCTAACCGCCGCCACCACCAGGCTCCACCACCATTGAAATTTACACTTAAATTTATTTTACTTCAAGTATTTTGGGTCATTTTCAACCATGGTTTGGTATCCATAAAACACCTTATTTTTCTATAAATAAGAGGGATAGGTAAAGATATCATAAAATTTTATTTGGAACAGTTTTTCTAATGCTTTTAAAAGTAATTTTTTCGTACAAAAATTGTATAATTTAAAAAAAAAATGTATTAAAATACTGTTATAGAAAGCAGTAAGGACGTTACCCTAAACAAAGACTAAGTCTCTTAAGTTTTCTTATATTTTTATTATAATTCTCAAATATTATGTTTGGGATAGCTTTTCTACTATTTTCTAAAATATTTTTTAGCACAAAAAAATTTACTAAAAAATTATTTAGAAAACAATAAAAAGACCGTCTCAAGCAAAGCCTTAGAGAGATTGTATGCATGCTTCTTGAAGATTATTATACTCATTGGATCAAGCTCATCTTACTGACCCAAGAATGCTTAGACCAAATTTGATTAGCTCAATCATTTACAAACTATTTGATTCCTTATTTCCTTACAGGTTCACATAGAGATCTATCAGATCTTCTCAGTTCTTTGGGCCTTAGGTTTCGTTTGGGACGGCTTTCTTTCTGCTTCCTAAAGCAGTTTCCTAATACAAAAATTAATTTTTTATACTATGAAGTTGTTTTGGGAAGCAATAAAAAAGCCGTCCAAACAAAATCTTCGTTCAACCAAATTCAAGAGTATGATTTTCTAGCTTGATCTTTTTGAGGTGGTTTGAGATTATTTTCTTATGTAAAAATGTGATTGATTAGATTAAAACTAATAACGACAAGAAGTGGGCTTGCCAGAAAGCGGATAGAGGCTTTTGTTGGAGAAATTATTGTGTATGCAATCCGAACGCTTCGGATGCTGCGTATTTGCAGCTTATTTTATTCTTATTTTTTTATACATAATTTTTTCGTGACAAATAAGTAGCAAATAAATAATACTCACTAAGTACACAATAAATACGCAAAAAATACGTAGAAAAAATTATGTATAAAAAAATACGCAGTAAAATAAGCAGCAAATACGCAGCATCCGAAGCGTTTGGATCGCGCGCACAATAATTTTTCCTTTTGTTGAGGTTTGAGTGAGACAAGACAAATTGATCACCAGCAGCAAAAACTACTCAATCAAAGACTAAAAGAGAGAGAGAGAGAGAGAGAGAGAGATAGAATAACAAATGAAAGTATAAATGACAAGAAGCATAAAAGATAGTATTAAAGTGGTTTAATCTTCTTGACCTGAGTCTTTGTTTGAGGTGATTTTTTTACTGTTTCTTAAAGCAGCTTTTTTACTGTTTTTTAAAACAGCTTTTGAGTATAATAATTATTGTGCTAAAAATTATTTTAAGAAGCAGTAAGTAAGCAGTCCCAAATGAAGCCTAAAAAACAGTAAGAAATCAGCTTTAAAAATTAATAAGAAAGCTGCCCCAAATGAAGCCTAAGTAAAAAAAAAATCATATTTCAATTCTATACATGTTTGTATCAAGAAAAAAAGCCTAAGAAATATCTGCCATGAATATTCTCAGGCTTCGTTTGGAACAACTTTTTTACTGCTTTTTAAAACAATTTTTTAGTACAAAAATTTCTTGAACTTGAAATTTGTATGCTTGAAAGTTGCTTACGAAAATATTAAGAAAGCTGCCCCAAACGAACCCTTAAGCTTTCATGTCCCATAGCCCATGGAGAGGAGATGAGCCCACAGGATCTCATTCCATGCGTCAGGCACACCAGGAAGACACCAGTGGCTACAATCCTGTATTGCATCGACGGCTCTTGTGGGCTTCTCCATGTACTTGGAAGGATGGCCGTCGGATCTTTGCTCGGTGAGATAAGTTATGTTCAAGAATCTCACCTTCTTATTTTCCCCTTCCTTCTTCATCACCTCAGTTATAACTCCATTGCTCCATGGCTCTGCTCTTAGCTTTTTCTCTTTGGTGCTGGGGATAGTTTCTTTGTCGCAGCTGCCGCCAGTGTCCCAGCTGCCATTGCTGCATTCACAAATAAGAAAATTTAGCATGAAATCAGGGTGTCAAAATGGGTTTCTGGGTCAGGTTCGGATCCAACCTAGCTTTAACTCGCCTGACCCAAACAGCCGAACTCAACCTGGACACAACCCGATCAACACGACCCAACCCGCCGACCCGAGTGCAAGCGGGCAAGATGCGCGCACGAGCATGGATGACGGGACTAGCATGTTTTCGGGTTGACTTGGGTTTTCTGGTTGAACGGAATCCAACAAATTTTCTAAATGGGTTGACCAATACCTAAAATTTTCGTTGGATTTTTGGGTCAGGTTGAATATTGACACCCGTAGATGAAATAAGTATGTTGATGTATGTCATAATATATGATATGAGATAGAAATTCTAATATTTTTAAAAGAGCAATTTGTGTCATAATGTTATGTTGTTAAATTATAGATTAAATACATAGTAAATATCTTCATAAATTTGTATTTTATCTATTAAATTACTATATGTATTGAGGAAATTCTATTATATATTTTTTGAATTTTTTTACTGATTATATGTAAATGTCTTAATATTTTGCTATTTAGTTATATTTTCTATTATAAATATATATTAGTTATTACTCATTTTTATAAAGTTTGACTTGAGTTTTCTTTTTTATGTATATTTTATTATTTTAGGAGTTTTAATTAGAAAAATTTTATGTAGCAAAATATATTTACCCTATTTAAAATTAACCATGAATAAATATTTTTAAATTTTTAGTGCCCAAAAATCTAGACAATAATTTCCATATGATTTTTATAAAATAAAATAAGAATTGGAAAAAAATCAGACTATTATTATAAAAATAACTTCAATGTTGTAATAGCTAAAATAATAATTTAAAATTTTCTTAAAACAGAAAATTTATATTCCAAGTTATAAATTATAGAATGAATTTAATAATATTCTTTTTCATGGCTTTAATTTGATTAAAAGCAACATAACTATTAATTAAAATTTAATAATTAATTTTAAAAATATTTTTTTATAATTTAAAATTATATAAAAAATAATAAAGAAATTGATAAATTGGAACTTGCCTGTAGTGAGCTTGAGAGAAGCTTCTGAAGAAGACAAAGCTCTTTCTGTGAAGGAGATTCTCATCTGCCCATTGTTTTATGGTTCGAATAGCTTTACGAAAAGCTTCCTTAACGTCCATTGTCATATTTATTTTGTTCCCAATTTGAAAATAATTTCCACTGAAATGTAAAAAGCTGCTTTAAGAAGCAATAAAAAAGCCGTCATAATGAAGCCTACAAGAAGGCAGCATAAGAAAAATATTTATTCGTCGATAAAGAGCCACTATGGCAGGGGTGTTAATAAATGACCCGACCCATCAACTCTACCCAAACCCGATTGGAAAAAATTGGGTTTTGGTTGGAATTTTTGACAGGTATATTAAATTGACCAGATTTGAGTTGACCCACAAACCCATTTTTTTCCAGAAAATGGCCCGTTAATATATTTTTACCTCAAGTTTTTTTACTTGTGGGCATAACATTCTTATTTGTTTATCAAATATCAAATTTTAAGTTATAATTTTTTTTAAACCAAAACATGTTAACAGATCAGATTCAAATCATTTGGGTTACTAGTGAGTCGACTCATTCGGGTTACTAGTGTGAATCAGACCCGAACTCAATCTATCAACCTGTTTTGACACCCACACTACGCCAACCTCATAAAATACAACGAGATGGTTTAAAATTCTAACATATAAAATAAGGAGAAAAGAGAACATTCAGTCTACCTTTTCAGGGTCTTATCGTCATTCCACCAATGCCCAGCATTAAAGACAACAACATCGGCGCCGACCCACTTCTTAGATTCCCAATGAGGCATATCAACATGAATAGCTTTGTGGACAATGGTAGGAGAGTTTGGTGGAGGTCTACCAATAGCCACAAGGAAAGGAGCCCTATAGTACTCAATGGTTAGGTTATAGTCCTTGAAGAAGATGATAAGGCTTCCTTTGTGCTTTGAGATTGGGCTCCCATATTTTTCATAAACTCTACTTTGATTTGCAATGCCAATCCATAACATGCAAAGTAGAGATTCCCATTGATTTCTCCCTATTGAATCCCCCACAAATAAAATCCTCTTATTTTTGCTCTTTTCAAGCATCATGGTAGCATTGAACCTAAAAATAAAAAAAATAATAAAAAAATAATAAAAAAATGGTAGCATTGAACCTATATTTTTTAACACAAGAGATCCTCTTAGCTTAAAATAATAAAAAAAAATTAAAAAATAAATATGTCAAATATTTGAATTCATGCTTTATTTTTTTAAGAAAAAATAATATTTTCAAAATTTAAATGAAATTTAAGGTATCTCGAAAAAAATCTTGTCTTAATATTTTATTATTTTATCATAAAATTACATAACAAATTAATATAATCATATGAATGGAATTATTATAACCATCATGAAAATTTGCATTTCATTTTCCATAAATATTATTCTAATCTAAATATCATAATAATTTTTTATATTATTATAAATTTTATAATAAATACCTTCACTATTCTTCTATTTATCTCTAAATCAAAATCATAAATGTATATCATTTAAATACAATTAAAATAAGTAAAATTTCACATGTATAAGCAAATCTAAATATTTTCAAACTTTTCATTTGTATCAATTAGATATCTAAACATAGAGTTTTTTTTTCATAAAAAAATCACTTAATTATCATTTTTAGTAAAAAAAAAAAGAGTTTTTTTTTTCTAATAAAAACACTGAACAAATAAATTATTACAAAAAGCACCTTGGCAAATTGCATCTATGAGGCTTCCATCGCCATTGAAGATAGTTTATATCTTTCCTTCCATTGAAGCGACAGAGAAAACCAGGATCAATGAACGGGCATTCCTCTGAGTAATACTGATCAGAGCCTCCATTAAAAACCCATTTTCCGTCTGAATAATCACAGTCGTCCGAGCGGCCATTAGAGAGCTGAGGGAAGGTGAAGGGAAAGGAGAGGAGAGAGAAGGTTTGGTTGATGGTGAAGAGGGAGAGAAGAAGGAAGAGAGAGATGAGAGTATGGGATAATAGCCTTTTGAGGAAGGGAGAGGCTGTGAAGATAGGTGGATCCATAAAGGAAGGAAGAAGTAGTTGAGGAGGGGATGGGAAGAGAAGAGGAGAGGAAGGAGAGCCGGAGAGGGAAAGGCTCCGCTTGTTTAACTAAAAAAAGGTGATAAAATTAAACCAAAAATAAAAAAAATCATATTTCTTTCATTTAGAATATTTTGTATTCTTCTTTAACAAATCAAATCGATAATCAATTTAGATTCAATTATTTTATGCGGACACAGAACATCGTCCGAAGACTAACCATAATACGCCACGTCACCTATGCGCTCGGTAACTCGACAGGATTTGTTCAGTATAGCTCAATACCACCGTTGTTCGGTAGCACTGACATTGTGCATTCTTGTTGGTCTCCGAACAGCGTTCTGCATCCAGTTTCCGCACAGATTAATTTCTCAAATTTGGATCACCTTTCTTTTTTAATTTCTAAAATATTTTTTTAGCACAACTAAAAAGCCGTTTTAACAAGTTACGAGAAAGTTGTCTCAAACATGCGTTAAACTTTATTTGGATCAACTTTTTTCTTACATTTGTTGTAAGAAAAACAATTATTAAAAAATAATGTGTATTTTTAAGAATTTTTTTTCGTCATTAATTTAAATTTTTGCTTTTAAAAAATAATTTTTAGAAATCTATTTTTGAAATCGAATCGGAGAAAGGAGCTTTTAAGAACAAAAACAGAAAAAGCTTAAACTTTTCATATATATAACTATTTTATTTTAAATAAATTACTAATAATAATAATTTTATGTTATTTAAAATTTAAATATTATATACATAAATATAAAAGTTTAAATAATATATACACAAATACATGACAATTATACTATGCATGTAAATCCCCCAATTTAAGAATAAAATGAATGAAAAGATAGAGATTTAAGCGTACTTTCAAAATAAAAACCTATAAACTTAAGTGGATAAGTGTCTTCAAGAGTTAAAGATGATGAATTTTGGCTTCATTTTGAACGGCTTTTTTACTACTTTTTAAAGTGGCTTTATAATACAAAAATTAAGCTGCTTTAAAAAGCAGTAAATTAGTGAAAGAAATGACAAAATTAACCTTCTCACTTCTTCCCAACACTGAACATCAGACTGCCATTAACAATAAGAATAGAAGGAATGTCTGATTAAAAATTCATGGTATACAATGTTGGTTGAGTTCCACAGATAACAATATTGCATTGGACATTTATAAATATCTAGCTAAGTTTTGTCCCCTCACATTCCAGATTTAATAATTTACATATCACAACCACCCCCGTTCTAATTTCAATATCAAAAATCTCCTCTAACCACCAAAGTAAGAAGAATATAGAATTTACTTGAATAAACTAATGTAGAAATTATTGAAACCTAGCAGAATAGAAGAAAATTGGCATCAACAGTGGAAGTGGGATAATACTTTCTAACCTGATTTACACCTTTCAATCACCTCCCTGGAAGATTCTGGAACTTCCGATTTCCACAGCCACAGATCTCTTTGCTGCTTTCCAACTAAAAGAGAGCAGATAGTTATATTTAAGCTGTTTAGTTTTGTTGATTTACCGAAGTTGATCTTTGGTCGTTGATCAAGTTAGGAGGTTCGGCAACACCAGCTGGGGTGTCTGGGCGGGGGGTGCTAACGGTAACATTTATGAAATCGTCAGGATTTCCGTCCCATTGTTCAGCTTCAATTAGAATTAAGAAAGCATAATCGTGATTCCAGGAAGAGTTAACGGAAAGAAAAAGATTAATGCGAAGGATACATGGGGTGCTCCACATATCTGTGATGCTGACGCCGGTCTCTGATAGTAGCCAGTAGTCGGCATCCGTCTGAGGCACAAAAATATAGTAGTAATGCAGATGAGTGTTCAGTCATATTGATCAAAATTTGGTTGAGAGGAATTTTCTTTGAGATTAGTGTGATATGAAAGTTAATTGATTGATCATATTGCGGATTCAATCTTAAAGCAAATCCAATGATTTTAAGATTGAATATTCTGTTTGTAAAAGGAATATGTATGTGGAAATATTGGTTGGATATACCATAACAGCAAAAACAAGTAAGCAATTCTAGATAGCATTTATCGAGGAAGATTTAGGTTTTGTTTGTGATGGCTTTCTTACTGCTTCTTAAAACAGCATTTTGTACTAAAAAATTGCTTTAAGAAGCAGGAAGAAAGCTGTCCCAAACGGAGACTTAATTGAATGTTGCTTCAATTTGAGGCATATACATAAAAATTGTAGAGATGAGTGGTGAAGATGCCTGCTTTCATGCTCGTTTTTTAATTGTGGTTATTTAGACATGACATGCCTTTTGGACTTCAATGTCGTAAAAGCTAAAACTCAAAATAAATAATAATCATAGAGGATCAATTGTATCTTGTTATTTTCCATTTCCCTTTTATCAAGTAATACAAATTATTTACTGTTTTTTTGGTTTTGTGTGGATTTTGGTAGATAAAACTCGTTGTTTTTCGAAGATTGATAGGAAATACTTGAGATCTACAAGTGTATCCTATCAGTTTCCTTATCCTTTACTAAGTTAACTCTCTATCGCTCTCTAATCTCTCAAAAATTGCAACTTCCAACCTCTTGTCCGCACAAGAAGGATCAATTCCTGAGACCCCCCATTTTATCTTCTGCAAAAAACTAGAATTTTCAATCTCCTCTACAATTCAAGAATATCGAGACGTTGAACAATAAATTGTGCCGCCTTTGTAATACTTTCTCTCAAACTCCTTTATTCAATTGCATTTCATCAAAAAGACTAAATTCAAAAGCAGGGAGAAATCAAGCAAATTCAAAAAGAATCTAGGAGAAGAAAATTTAGACCGGAACCTTAATCTTCAAGATCTCCAACATTAAGCAAGATGAAAACCATTTGAACAAAGCTTACAAGGACAATAGACCAAACAAAATAAACCAAGCATACAAAATAGCCAAAATAAGTTGTGAGAAAAATTCCACAGAAATACATAAGAGCGCACCAAGCTACAAAGGGCTACATAAAAGGTCCTCATCACCTTTTCCTTTCTCCATAAACCTGATCCTTAATTAAAATATTAATATTTTATTATTATTTTAATGTGACAAACAAACACATCACCTAAATGACATTTAGGCTTCTAGTCTATTGCCAAAATCATTTTAATATTTTCTAATGACAGTTCAAAATTTAATGACATGTAGGCTTCAAAATCATAATTTTGTGTCAAGACATTTGTAATGGATTCTTTTAGTTATTATCAAGGACCCTACTTTCTAAACAAGTTTCAAAGATGGATTTTAAATTATAATGTTAAGTGAATGAAGATGTTAAAACCTTTTCCATGGATGTGATTCATATATTTTCTTTATCCTACATACTGAACAAATAAATTATTACAAAAAGCACCTTGGCAAATTGCATCTATGAGGCTTCCATCGCCATTGAAGATAGTTTATATCTTTCCTTCCATTGAAGCGACAGAGAAAACCAGGATCAATGAACGGGCATTCCTCTGAGTAATACTGATCAGAGCCTCCATTAAAAACCCATTTTCCGTCTGAATAATCACAGTCGTCCGAGCGGCCATTAGAGAGCTGAGGGAAGGTGAAGGGAAAGGAGAGGAGAGAGAAGGTTTGGTTGATGGTGAAGAGGGAGAGAAGAAGGAAGAGAGAGATGAGAGTATGGGATAATAGCCTTTTGAGGAAGGGAGAGGCTGTGAAGATAGGTGGATCCATAAAGGAAGGAAGAAGTAGTTGAGGAGGGGATGGGAAGAGAAGAGGAGAGGAAGGAGAGCCGGAGAGGGAAAGGCTCCGCTTGTTTAACTAAAAAAAGGTGATAAAATTAAACCAAAAATAAAAAAAATCATATTTCTTTCATTTAGAATATTTTGTATTCTTCTTTAACAAATCAAATCGATAATCAATTTAGATTCAATTATTTTATGCGGACACAGAACATCGTCCGAAGACTAACCATAATACGCCACGTCACCTATGCGCTCGGTAACTCGACAGGATTTGTTCAGTATAGCTCAATACCACCGTTGTTCGGTAGCACTGACATTGTGCATTCTTGTTGGTCTCCGAACAGCGTTCTGCATCCAGTTTCCGCACAGATTAATTTCTCAAATTTGGATCACCTTTCTTTTTTAATTTCTAAAATATTTTTTTAGCACAACTAAAAAGCCGTTTTAACAAGTTACGAGAAAGTTGTCTCAAACATGCGTTAAACTTTATTTGGATCAACTTTTTTCTTACATTTGTTGTAAGAAAAACAATTATTAAAAAATAATGTGTATTTTTAAGAATTTTTTTTCGTCATTAATTTAAATTTTTGCTTTTAAAAAATAATTTTTAGAAATCTATTTTTGAAATCGAATCGGAGAAAGGAGCTTTTAAGAACAAAAACAGAAAAAGCTTAAACTTTTCATATATATAACTATTTTATTTTAAATAAATTACTAATAATAATAATTTTATGTTATTTAAAATTTAAATATTATATACATAAATATAAAAGTTTAAATAATATATACACAAATACATGACAATTATACTATGCATGTAAATCCCCCAATTTAAGAATAAAATGAATGAAAAGATAGAGATTTAAGCGTACTTTCAAAATAAAAACCTATAAACTTAAGTGGATAAGTGTCTTCAAGAGTTAAAGATGATGAATTTTGGCTTCATTTTGAACGGCTTTTTTACCACTTTTTAAAGTGGCTTTATAATACAAAAATTAAGCTGCTTTAAAAAGCAGTAAATTAGTGAAAGAAATGACAAAATTAACCTTCTCACTTCTTCCCAACACTGAACATCAGACTGCCATTAACAATAAGAATAGAAGGAATGCCTGATTAAAAATTCATGGTATACAATGTTGGTTGAGTTCCACAGATAACAATTTTGCATTGGACATTTATAAATATCTAGCTAAGTTTTGTCCCCTCGCATTCCAGATTTAATAATTTACATATCACAACCACCCCCGTTCTAATTTCAATATCAAAAATCTCCTCTAACCACCAAAGTAAGAAGAATATAGAATTTACTTGAATAAACTAATGTAGAAATTATTGAAACCTAGCAGAATAGAAGAAAATTGGCATCAACAGTGGAAGTGGGATAATACTTTCTAACCTGATTTACACCTTTCAATCACCTCCCTGGAAGATTCTGGAACTTCTGATTTCCACAGCCACAGATCTCTTTGCTGCTTTCCAACTAAAAGAGAGCAGATAGTTATATTTAAGCTGTTTAGTTTTGTTGATTTACCGAAGTTGATCTTTGGTCGTTGATCAAGTTAGGAGGTTCGGCAACACCAGCTGGGGTTTCTGGGCGGGGGGTGCTAACGGTAACATTTATGAAATCGTCAGGATTTCCGTCCCATTGTTCAGCTTCAATAAGAATTAAGAAAGCATAATCGTGATTCCAGGAAGAGTTAACGGAAAGAAAAAGATTAATGTGAAGGATACATGGGGTGCTCCACATATCTGTGATGCTGACGCCGGTCTCTGATAGTAGCCAGTAGTCGGCATCCGTCTGAGGCACAAAAATATAGTAGTAATGCAGATGAGTGTTCAGTCATATTGATCAAAATTTGGTTGAGAGGAATTTGCTTTGAGATTAGTGTAATATCAAATTTAATTGATTGATCATATGGAGGATTTAATCTTAAAGCAAATCCAATGATTTTAAAATCGAATGTTCTCTTAGTAAAAAACATAACGTATGTGGAAATATTGGTTAGATGTATCACATTGTACATGCTGCAACTGCGAAGCTATAGCCATAACAACTGTAAGATTCTCATGACCCGGGCCAAATACTCGAATTAACGAGAAGGGAATAGAGGATCGGACGGTTAAATAATTTCTTTAACTTATGCTTAAACAATTAACAAAAACATCAGCGTATACTATGCAATATTGAATACTTCTTATTTATCAAACCAATATTTATGATTCTAAATAATTCTAATATAATTTAAAATGAATATTCCTAAATTAATTACCTCAAAGAATCTTTCATTCTTTCAATAAATCTTTCCTTTCTTCACTGTTAAATCAAGACTTAAAATAATTGGATTCTTCATACAACAATAATATTTTATTCCTTCAATTAGCAAAACAAAATTATATAAATTTACTTCTCTCAATTTAAACAAAAAAAAAAAAAATTAAAATCACTTACACTTTGTCATTAGAAATGAAGAAATTTTCAAACCTAAGTTTTCCCTCTTTTCCCTTCCGACTTTCTTCTTTTACCTTCAAAGGCATTTATACTTTCTTAGACTTAAATCACGGTAGAATTTTGCATAAAAATGAATAAATTTGAAAACCTACATTCTTTTTCATTCCTCATCTCCGCACGATTTCCTCTCGGCACAAAGCTTCTCACACGTTTAGCTTTTACTAGATTGAGTGAAATTAAGATATCTCCCATAAGGATTCGTTACTTTTCAATCCGGCACACGTCCGTTCACTCAAACATTCGATTTGAATCGTTTGGGAGTGCTCATGCACGCATTTGTTCTATTTTATGTCAATTATCTATGAATTAAAATTAAGCAATCCTCTTATTTATTGATTCATGTTTTTGTTAGACCGGTCCATTGTCTAACCGGTCCGACGAGACTAAACCAACGCGCAAAAGGGCGGAGGAGTTCCGCCTCATGTACAGGTCGCGCGAGCCGCAGGTCCACGGGAGCCGTTTTAGGAAGGAATTTTGAGGAAGTTTAGGAGAAAATTTAATGTAGGGACTATTTAGAGATTTTCTTTTGATTTGTCTGCATTGAATACTTTGTTTTCCTAGGATTATGACATATTGAATTTGACTGAAAATTGAGATCTCCTAGATTTAGGTTTTTTTCTTTAGGCTCTAGCGGCGTCTAGAGATTTGGAAGAGATCGATCCTCCTCTCAAATAGAGGATCAATTGTATCTTGTTATTTTTCGTTTCCCTTCTATCAAATAATACAAATTATATGTTGTTTTTGTGGTTTTATGTGGATTTTGGTACAGAAAGCTCGCTGTTTTTCAAAGATAGATAGGAAAAACTTGAGATCTACAAGTGTTTCCTATCAAATTGATATCAGAGCACGTCGATCGAAGGGGAACCAATGGCCGGAACGAAAGTGAAAGTTTTGGAGGGAGAACTTGGGCAACTCAAAGCAAATTTTGAGGAGAAGATGGATGATTTTCAAAATCAAATTGCATCAGTCAATGAAAGGATGGAGGAAAAGTTCGTCGTGGTGGAAGACATGTTGACGAAATTGCTTGAAGCCAAAACCAAACTGGTGACATAGGAAACAAAGAAAACTACCAGCAACCATGGAAGAGACGAGAACCCTAACACGTTTAGGGGAAGGTAAAATCCATAAGTGGAGATCCTTGAGGGAGAATACGGAATGCCTCCTCTAGAACCACTTTCTAGGGAGAAGATGAGCATTGACTACGCAACAAGGGGTGCTGAATTTGTAAGGAGAGGGGATGATTTCGATCTCCAGGGAGCTGATTTTGAAAGAATAAGAGGGTATTTTGATGAAGGGTTTGGGTATGATCATTGGAGGGAAGATCGTAACAATTGGGGAGCACCTCATTTTCAAGGAATGGGAGGATGAGAAAAACTAAAGATGACAATCTTTGAAGGGGAGGATGCGCACTAGTGGATCTACAAGGTAGAAAGATATTTCACCGTCAATGGGTTGACAGAGAAGGAGAGATTAACGGCAGCAGGCCTATGTTTGGAAGGGAAGGTTTTGTCTTAATATCAATGGAGGTACATGCGACAACTCATACGGAGTTGGAGAGAGCGTGCAAGGATGGTTTGGTAGAACGTTTTCGAACAAGCAGGGGAGGAGACTTCTACGAACAGTTCTTCGCCTTAACACAGGCGGGTTCCGTGATAGAGTACCGGGAGAAATTCGAATACCTTGCTAGCCGATTGGACCGCTTTCCTGAGATAGTGCTAGAGGAAAATTTCAGGAAAGAACTGACATCAGAGATCTGGGCAACGGTTAGAGTAATGAGGCCTAGTGACTTGAGAGAGGCCATGGAGCTAGTTCAATTGGTGGAGGATTAGAGGCACCTAGAGAGCAAGATGTGAGGCAGTAGCTCAGGAGGTCCGAACAGGAGGACCACCACCTTTCTAGCACCCAAGAGTCAACACTGAGTGCTCTTAGGGAGACTTCGAAGGAGAAGATTACCGGAGGAAGACCTGGGGAAAACTTCAAGAAGCTCAAAGAAACAGAATTATAGGAGAATAGGGCGAAGGGGATCTGTTTCAGATGTGATGAGAGATATACGTCGGGGCACAGGTGTAAGGACTGAACTCTTCGGGTTCTTATCGTTTGCGATCAAGAAGGAATGGAGGAGGGTGTCGTCTTTCCACATTGCGAACAAGGTGGATCTTTGGGAGGGGAGTATTGTTAGCTGGTCCATTGGACTGGTCCAACCGGTCTGTCGTGCGAGCCGCAGGTCCATGAGAGCCGTTTTAGGAAGGAATTTTGAGGAAGTTTAGGAATAAAATTGAATGTAGGGACTGCTTAGAGATTTCCTTTTGATTTGTATGCATTAAATACTTTGTTTTCCTAGGGTTATGACATCTTGAATTTGGTTGAAATTTGAAATCTCCTAGATTTAGGTTTTCTTTTTTGGGCTCTAGCAGTGTGGGCGTCTAGAGATTTGGGAGAGATCGGTCCTCCTCTGGAATAGAGGATCAATTGTATCTTGTTATTTTCCATTTCCCTTTTATCAAATAATACAAATTATCAACTATTTTTTTTATTTTGTGTGGATTTTGATAGATAAAACTCATTGTTTTTCGAAGATTGATAGGAAATACTTGAGATCTACAAGTGTATCCTATCAGTTTCCTTATCCTTTACTAGTTAACTCCCTATCTCTCTAATCTCTCAAAAATTACAACTACACAATTACACATATCTTACAACAGAACGATTAGCAAGTATGCACATGCTCGTTTGACCGTGCTATATCATTGACTGGCACTAAGCAAGCTCCCATGAGTCAAAGGATAGGTTTCTTATTAGAATAAAAAAAAAACATGTTAAATTGAAAAATCGCTTTCATGAGGGAGGTAGATTGAAGGAGGAAGAATTCTAGACTTACATCAACATCAGATGGAACAATCTTCATCATCCCTCCCATGCAATCCTGTTGTGCATTCAAATCATTATTCATGCTATTGGATTCGTGGAGTTCATGCTCTATTTCATGGTGTTGGCTATGCTCTGGGACCATTTGCAATGCAGAATTCTCTAGAAATTCTGGATTTGATGCAGCTGGAAGCTGAGCCATTGTATTAACAGCATTCATCTCCTCAAATTTCTCCTCAAATTGACTGAAAAAAGATATGAAGAAAGAAACATGCAATGCAAAACCTCAGACATGGGTTTTACGAAAAGATGTCATATTTCATACTTCTAGATGAGGAAAAAGATTTTTAGCGGATTGCTTGGGCATCCATTACCTGACCAAGTAAACATCTATTGCGCCCATGGTGCTTCTAAGGACAATTCTATATCTTCTCTGGGGATACTCGCCAGCCTGAATATGCAGAAGGTTGCAATGAGAGAGAAGTATATTGGGTTCAGTCGGTTATATCTAGTTCAAAAAGATTTACAGACCTCATCAGGATCCGGAACTTCAAGGGTAGTGCCATGAGGTGCTTTTATTGCAATAAGTGTTTCATTCTGATAAAGCAGAAGTGGAAAACAGATAATCATAAACTCCCATGAATAAACAACATTCGTGATTCTTTTGACAGTCAAATAGTAGGGGAAAAAAAAGATAAACTAAAATTGCAATACAAACATGAAAACAGGGCAAGCTCTTGATGTCATCTTCAGTCACATAAAGCCACCTGAAGTTGTTGGAAGAATGTAAGGAAATAGATGAAGAGCAACAATGAGAACCATAGTCAGTCAATATAAAATCCAAGATAGAGAATTTTTCAATCTAATATGCATGATAGGAGGGGAGCTGTTAGGGCACTCACTTTGAACTATTTTCATTTTCACTCAGTTCCCTTATTTGTTGTTGCATTTCACTGTAACAGGACATAAAAGCTCGTATAGTACATAAAACAGCTATAGGTAAATTAAATATGGGAAACACCAACAAACCTAATATGAGCATCTAAGTTGCGCTCTTGCAAACCAAGCTTCTCGACTTCAGACTGGGGAAGAAAATTTAAAGTAAAAAAAAACATGGATTTTTCTGATTCTAATATGCGGATAAATTAGTGAGAACTGGATTTGCAAACAAAGACAAAATGTTGGTTAAGAAAAGGCAACACAAGTACATCCTTAGAAAAGAAATAGTTCGTTTAACATACTTGTAAAACTGAAACACCATCTTCAAAATCACCTGACCTCAAGTCATCAAGTCCCCTGCAACCAAATCAAATGTTGTTGTTTTTTTTTTTTATACGGGACCGGGAAACATAGGAGACAGATGAGCACGGAAAAGAAATCAGGCAAGTATAATTATACTTCCAACGTATTCTGTTTTTAAGTTTCTTCTCGATAAGGCCAATCCCTTCTAAAACATTTGTTATGTCGTATATGCGCCTCTTTTGCACCTACACAATAGGACTCCTCTTAATACTGCTCATGTCACACCTTCAGCATAAAATATCGTTCTTCTCATTACTCAAAAGCAAAGCAAAATAAGTGCAGTCTAACCTCTAAAGTTTCAGCAGCTTTGTTAAGATCAAGAATTCCATCCTGTGCAGTCTTAAGCAAATTAATAAATTTCTTTGTCAACAGGCCTGAAATGGCAACAAAGCATGTTAACAGCACAACTGCACAAGTCACAAACTATCCCCCTCTATCCACAAAAATAATACTATAGATAGATTGCTCAAGAGTTGTTCTATGCTTTCCATATTTGCTCCCAAGTAAACATGCACAGTCCGTACAATGGATAAGTAGAGAAGCATAACGGGATTAAATCCTAACTTCTCATCAAAGAGTGCCCTATAATGTCAATGCATTTAACAAAGAGCGCTTATGTGAGAAAAAAATTTTTTTTCTCGCTTAAACAACAAAATTCACTTTTAAGTTAAGCAATTATGTTAATTACCTAAAGAGCTGTCATAGCGGCAAGTAGTAGCAGGCGTTAGAAGATTGTTAGAAGGAGAACCTGCAACAAAGCATACCAAGATATAGAATGAGAGTGAATAACGTTTAGAAATAATCAATAGGAAGAATTGATCACTCACATAAGAATCCTAACTATCCAATGAAGAATTCTAGGATATCAAGTGCACATTCAAATCAACTTGAACATTGATGAAAATATCTGACAAGGCTAAGAAATAACCAAATGGCATTGCATAAAGCATGAAAAGTTATTTTTACCAGTATTTGACATGGGAGTCTGAGGTACAGATTTATAGAACTTAGCAACTTTGGATCTACCATAGTTCCTTCCTCCTTTCCCTGAGACTGGTGTCAAGAGGGAATTGCTATCTACTTCAGCTTGTCCAGGGCTATTAATCCACTCAGCTGATTCGGCAACATCATTATCATCATGAACAGCTTTTCTTTTTAACTGAATATGGCATGCCATTTTTATCATATAAATATTCAGCAGCTAAGCAATAACCTCAAAACACCAAAAAGAAAGGTGACTACTAATGAAAAAGGGGAAAAAATACAATGCAATCTAAAGAACAACAAATTAAGCTACTTCTAGTGAGTAAAATGTTTCTATGGCTATTTGAGACTTACATGATTCTGTCACACATGCATGAATCGAAATGCAATTTAAACACATCGTCATGAACATTATCATATATTTATCTCATAGATAAGGGTTTGAAGGATAATGTTATAAAAATTGACAAAATTGAAAATAGAATTATAGCTTTGAAGGTTATTGTTGATGTTAAAATTATTAATACTATAAGTACTTATGCTCCTCGAGTAGATTTTGATGTGTTCAAAATTAAAATTTTAGAATGACTTAGAAAAATTAATACAAAATATACCTCTTGAAAAATGAGTTTTTATTGGAGGAGATTTAAATAAACATGTTAGTAAAGAGGCAGAGGTTTTTAAAAGCATTCATGGCGGCTATAAGTTTGGAGCGACTAACGAAGGTGGTAAGATTATATTAGATTTTGCTCTAACTTATGATTTTGTAATTGATAATACTTATTTAAGAAAAAATATGAGCATCTCATCCTTATAAGAATGGATATAGTAAAACTTAGATTGATTATTTTCTCATATGAAAAATAGATTGTTTAGATTACAAAGATTGTAAAATTATTCCGAATGAAAATTTACATATCAAACATTGCTTATTAGTTTTGGTCTTTAAAATGAAGATGCAGAATACGAAAAATAAAGTAAAATGTTGTTCTAGGATTAGATGGGGGCATTTAAAAAATACTAATAAAAATACACTTGTGAGTAAGATTTGAGATCTTAAGATTTTGTTTGTGCATGAGATAGCTAAGTTATATGTGAAAAAATAGCTAGTAATATTAAGAATGTTGCAAATGATGTGTTTGGAATATCAAAAGAAAAAGCCTCTAATAGTAAAAATAGTTAGTGGTAGTTAGTGGTGAAATTAAAATGTGTAAGAAAATATCAAAAATAAAAAAATTTTGTTATAAAAATTGGCTTAGATGTAAAAACTCTAAAAATTGTGAATGATATAAAGAGGCCCGTAAAGAGTTTAAAAAAGCAATATGCGATACAAATATTTTTTATTTTAATGATTTATATAATAGATTCGATACTAAAGATGGTGAAATATATATATATATAAGTTAGCCAAACAAAGAAAAAAGGAGTAATAAGGATTTAGTTCAAATGAAGTGCATTAAAGATAAAAATCAAAAAGTGTTTTTTTAGAAGAGGATATTCAACAAAGATTGATGAGATATTTTGCTAAAGTTTTTTTAATAAAGATTGCGAAATTACGATTGACTTTAGTGACCTTAGCACTCTAAATGAAAATAGATATTTTTAGTTTTTTCAACGTATTAGTAAAACTGAAGTTAGGGAGAATTTAAAAAAAATAAAGTGTGGAAAAACTATTAAACCTGATGATATTCCAATAGAAGTGTGGAAATGCTTAAGAGATGAAAGAATTTCTTGGCTTACTAAGCTTTTTAATATTATTTTGAAGACTAAAAAGATGATAGATGAGTGGTATGTTGATTTCTCTTTTTAAGAATAAAGATGATGCACAAGATTATATAAATTATAGAGGAATTAAATTGATGTGTCATACTTTAAAACTTTAGGAGAGTTATGGAGCATAGGTTATGACGTGATACTAATGTTTCTCAAAATTAATTTGGATTCATGCCAGATAGGTCTACTAGCGAGGCTACACATTTATTGAGAGGTTTGATGGAGAAGTATAGAGAGAATAAGGAGGATTTACATATGATTTTTATTGATAAGAGAAAGCATGTGATAAAGTTCCAAGAGAAGTGCTATGGAAAGTTCTAGAAATGAAAGGGGTTAATAATGATTATATTCAAGTCATTAAGGATATGCATACATAAGTTGTTACTTATTACAAACACAAGGTGGTTTGACCAAGTATTTTCCTACTGCAGTTGGATTACATCAAGGATCAACCTTAAGCCCGTATCTTTTTGCTTTAGTCATGAATGTTCTACTAGATATTTGCAAGAGGAAGTATCGTGGTGTATGCTTTTAGGTGATGATATTCTTCTAGTTTATAAGAATAGAGAGAGAGTTGAACGTAAACTTGAATTATTGAGGTCAACCTTATAGTTTAAAGGTTTTCTTTTGAGTATATCTAAAAACGAACACATGAACTGCAATTTTAGTAGTAATACATCTAATGAGGGTTTTGTAACTTTAAGCGATCAAGTCATCAATAAGAGTAAATGTTTTAGATATCTTGGTTCTATTATTCAAAGTGATGGTGAAATAGAAGAGGATATTATTAGTAGAATTCAAGTTGGTTTGTTGAAGAGGAGGAATGCATCGGGCATGTTATGTGATAGAAAAGTATCACTCAAACTTAAGGAAAAATTATATAAGATTGTGGTAAGACCTGCAATACTTTATGGCACAGAATGTTGGCCATTAAAAGAGAAGCAAATATTAAGTGTTGCAGAGATGAGCATGCTCGCATGGATGAGTGGCTTTACTCTTATAGATAGGATACGAAACAAGCATATACATGAAAAGGTTGGAGTAGCTCCAGTGGCAGATAAGATTAGAGAGAGTCGCCTTAGATGGTTTGATCACATAAAACGGTGGCCCTCCGATGACCCAATTAGGAGAGTAGATATATTAGATTTGACCAATGTTAAAAAAGGTTGAGGTAGTCCAAGAAGACTTAGTTAGAAAATATTAGAAATAACTTTTCTTTATTAGATTTAAATGAGAATTTGACTTAACATAACACAATGGAGAAAAAGAATTCATATAGCCAACCCCACAGTGGGATAAAGGCTTGATGTTGTTGTTTGTTGTTGTTGTATCATGAACATTAGCATAGTCCCAACTATTTGGGATTGGCTATTATACAAATCCTTCTCCATTCTCCCAATCAAAAGTTGCATGAGGTGTTAGCACTAGTCTATGTTAGAAATCCTAAGCAACTTCTAGCCATGCTACCATGTCACCCCAATTTCATTTAGTTCATTCCACATTTATTCTATTTATACTTCTTGGTGGTTCATCTCCTGCTCAAAATTACATAAATCAATGAAGTCTATTTTCTATTATTTTATCCTCAATAGGAGCAATTCACATCATTCCTCTAGTATAATGATTACTAACTCTTCCTAGCTATGCTACAAATCCATCTCACATTCTTATTTCAACCACTCAATATGTTCATTTAAGTTATATATTTTATATATTATGAGTTATTTTGAGAAATATACTTGTATAATGATGTACAAATGAGAAACACAATTGCATCATTAGACATCACATACAATATATAGAAGGCTATATAAATATTTTTTCTTCATTCATTCACTCAAGGGTTGCAAGAAATATTAAGCATAGATCGTGTAAGCCTTTTTGGGGGACCTCTAGCCATATTACTATAAGTCTACTGATATTCCTCTTTTACACAACTTCCAACCATGTTAACATAACCTCAACAATCCTCCTTCTAAACCGTCCACATTCAATTTATTTAACCACCATGTTAATACATCTATTGCAATCCATTATAAATGCCCAAATCACCTAAATTTACTTTCCACTAACTCATGTTCAACAATGTGCTGAACATCTCTATAATATTATCAAATATTATCATTTTTAACTCTATAGTTTCTAGTTTTATAGCACATCCATCTAACATTCTCATTTCCAATAGTCAACCTAATTGTCAATGACTTCTTTGTTGCCCAATATTTGCATCCATAATTCATAAACGATCTAACTGAAACTTTATAAAAGTTAGCTATAGCTTTACGTGACATTCTTTTATCAAGTGGTCCATTTGAAGCACTTCTATTTTACTTACCAACTTTTAACTATAAGAACTTGAGTCATTACTATAGTCATATTTATTAAAAAAATCTACAATATGCAATTATATCATGCTTAGGTACCATGACTCCTAGTACTAGGAATAATTATCAAAACAAATATGCTAAATTGCATGTCTTATGCTCAATTGTAATTCTACTGCAAAGCCTATTATCATTTAAGAAACAAATGAACTAAATTTCTAATAAATTGCTACATAGCTAAGTCTGCAATACTTGACCTTCAACCCAAATGAACATATCAAAATCCAATGCTTTAAAGCTTGAAAGAAGGTCCAAATAGTTTAGGGCAGCGGCAAGAAAAATGATAGCAACCAGCATTTAAAAAATAAGACAAAAGCTTCACAAGCAATATGATGAAAGAGGTCATAAGAACTAGGAATGACAATGAAAATCTAACAAGCAGTGTCACGAGCAAAACAGCTATTAACTATCATAGAGAAACATTAAATATATATATATATAGAAATCAACTCAAGCAAAAGTTATATGGCCTTCTATTAGCCATTAGTGACTAGAATTAGGGATCATGAAAATCATGTGCACAATTGAAACTTCAAGTAATCAACAAAAAGCTAAATTGAAATGAATCAAACTAATCAAAATCCCACATTCAACAAATAAAGTATATATATATATATATATATATATATACATGCATTGTTGTCGTACACCCATGACTATTTATACAGATGCCAGTTCGAAGGTATCATGTAGGTTATGTTTGGGTCGAGCGAAAGTAGGAATCATTATCTCCTCTCTCGGAACAATCAGTTCAAGGGACTCGCTTAAGAGCTAAGAAGGAGCTTAGCAATGGAGCACAACAGACTAGCTTAGGCCATCACTTCTAAGCATTCGCCCACCTCGACGAGGGCGACCTCAAAAATTCCTCTCTCAATCAGGCAAAAATATAAGGAGTGTAATTTAAACCATTGTCTTTTTTTTTTTTAAATTAAGCATATGTAAAACTCAATACGATGAGCATATTCATGTTGGACAAAATTCTGCATATCATCGATTGAAAATATATTATCACAATTCA